GACTGATCACCTTGGCCTCTGAAGACTTGATCTACTACAGCCTACGACCTACGACCTACGACCACGACCCCAGTGTACTGTTTAAACGTCAATCCCCAACTTCTGTTAGCAGACCCTACTGTCGGATAGCTGACCGTAACACAAAGGCATTGGTGCAATCATCACGACATTCGGTGTTGGCGAACTTTCCGCGGTAAATGCTATCGCCGGTGCCTACGTAGAACTCTCCCCCGTTTTCCACATCGTTGGAACTCCACCGAGAGCATCTCAGGATGCACGTCTGCTCATTCATCACACCTTTGCCGATGGCGAGTATGGCCAATTCGCGAAGATGCACGCGCACGTCACCGTGGCCCAAACATCACTATGGGATCCCCGTACATCAGCTCAGCAGATCGACACAGTCCTACAACAGTGCCTGATACACCATCGCCCAGTTTACATCCAGATCCCCGTCGATCTAGTAGCTGTCAATATTTCTTCCGCCCGACTGCAAACGCCCTTGAGTAGCTCCGCCATGGATGTCAACTTCAGTCCTGAAAGGGAGGCCGTCTTGGCCAAGATTCTCGAGAGAATCTATAGTGCCAAAAGACCAGTTATCATCGCCGATGGCGAGTGCAGGCCATTCGGCATTGTTAGTGACGTTCAAGCCCTCATTGATACGACTGGGTGGCCCACCTGGACAACGAACTTTGGAAAAGGTCTTTTCGACGAGACACGCTCAAACTTCCATGGCATCTACAGAGGGGAATTTTCCGACCGATCTGTCAAGGAGACTATCGACAGGGCAGATCTTATTCTCTTCTTCGGACCGCACCTGAGTTCAAGCAACACGTACGGTTTCACAGCTTTACCTACCTCTAAGGTTGCCATCTTCATCAAATCAACCCAGGTTGAACTGGGATCCGACATCTTTCGAGATGTCTCAGCTTCATACGTTGCATCTGGACTGCATCACCACATCGACGTCAATAAGATCGCAAAGTATGATCCGTACCCTCTTCTATCTCGGGATTCACAGCTGCCTTTATCCGCTCTGGCAGACGACTCGGGCTTGATCTATCAGGACAAACTGTGGCGCTCTATTGCCAACATCCTTCGGCCTGGCGATATTGTCCTCGGAGAGACAGGCACTGCAGGTTATGGTGTGCGGGATATGCCCTTGCCACCACATACGAGGCTATTCACTCCTGTTACCTGGCTCTCCATTGGTTTCATGCTCCCAGCTGCCCAAGGAGCGGCGCTTGCCCAGCGGGAAATGATTGCAGAGTCAAACTACTATGGTCTGAAACAGGGCCAGGCTCGTACCATACTCCTGATCGGCGATGGAAGTTTCCAAATGACGGCACAGGAGTTGGCCACAATCATCCGACACAATCTTGATGTTGTGATTTTCTTGATCAACAACGATGGGTACACCATTGAAAGATGTATTCATGGGCGCAAGCAGGAGTACAACGACATATCTACCTGGCGGTATCTCCATGCCCCTCACCTTTTTGGTGCTAGCAAAGACACCTACACCGCTACATGTAGGACATGGTCGGAACTGCATGATGTTTTAATCAATGCACAGCTAGGGTCTGGAAGTGGACTTAGAATGGTTGAGGTTTTCATGGATCGTGAGGATGCACCGACAGGGCCACTTCTACAGTATCTAGAAACACAGAAGGCGAAGGAGACACTGGCTTAGTATGCACTGGACATATAATAGAGATGAGTTTGATCTTGCAGAAGACTGATATAACCTCGCATGTCATGTCTATGAGCAGTCTCCTAGCGAGAGATCTGACCTAGCCCAGGCGGACCGCTTACAGGTAGTGTCGCGAGTAGGCAGGGGGTGGATCGATTATCAAGTGGACGCCATCCGAGCAAGACAAGAAATCATGGTCGCGAGGAGATTTCTCTGGCGATGCCAAAATGCTTCAGTCAAATCCCGATGATTATTCAAGGTGTCATGAGCAGTAGACTGGCTGCAATGTCAATCACGACTTAGCATGTTCGACATACTTGTATGTAGAATATATTAATCACACGGTGGCAACACTTCCTGTCGTCCCAGAAGTGCTTATCATGGACATACTTAGGGATTGATTCAACAACCTTCATGGTTCCTCAGAAAAGCCAATCAATTGAGGTCTTCAACTTTTAACGCCATCCTCGCTTCTCTGTATCAGTCTCTGGCGTGTATCTATCCGTCTCCAAGTCCATCTCGCTAAGGCTGATGAGCTTCGTCTTCTTGTATAGCTTCCATCCAATGATCATGACCAACATAACTGGCAGTTCAATGTAGAAGCTGAGGAAGTTTGCCGCATCGAAGCGAGGTGCGAAACAGGACCACCCTTGATTTAGGATGATGAAAGTGTTGAGAATAACACAAGCCCATGGCCCAACGGGATACGTGGGATTGGAGAAGGGTAGGAGGTGCGTCTTGCCTTGAATCGCCAGTGCTCTACGGAATCGAATTGAGGTGATTCCAATTGACAACCAGCTAAGTTGATTTGACACACCGACAAGACTATGACGCGGCTCAGCAGCTGAAACTGGTAGGGGATTGGAGTTGAACTCACTTCTGCAGCCAATTCCACAGCTGTCCTGCCCCAATAAAGCTAGAAGCAAAACAAAGACCGCTAGCTAGCGATGTGACGACAACAGCAACCCAAGGTACCTTTTGTCGATTGAGATTTCCAAAGGTACTTGGTGCGTGTCCAGCGGATGCCAGTGCATGGATTAGGCGAGCGCCGGCGAAGAGTGCGTGGTTCCCAGCGGACACTACACTTGTCATGACCACGACGTTCATCACGCTTGCTGCGACACTCGCTCCGGTCATCTCAAAGACGAGTGTGAATGGCGATACGTCGACAGTCTTGGCGGAGAGACCAGGGTAGTTGTATGGCACATTGAGGCCGATCAAAAGTATAGACAAGATACTGGGTACATATATGTTAGCGGGGCCGACCAAAAACATCTTGAAAACACCTACTAGAAGATGAGGATCCTCCAAAACACGTTCTTCACCACCTTTGGCAAGTTCTTGGCCGGGTTCTTTGTTTCACCCGCTGTTATCGCGATGGACTCCGTCCCGCCATCTACGTCTCGTCAGAACCATTCATATGCCGTCAGTGGGTCAAAGAAAGACACAAGGCCTACATGCAAATGATGCTGTGACAAACACAGTAGCAAAGCCGCCAACCCCTCCGACGAATGGTGCGTTGGGCAAATGCCAGTTTTCACCGCCAATGTAATGACCAGTCGAGTTGCCGCCACAGTTGACGACTATCCCAACAACGATGAACACCTGGGAAGCGCAGATCAGCAATAACGAACTGCGTTGGCCGCGGTTTCGGTCGACCCATCACCACAGTAATAACCTTCAGTAAACTTAACCAGTATTCAATCTGTCAAATGTCAGCAATCAACGTTTTCAGCCAGCGTTTGGAAAGTCCGCCTACTTCTCCATAAACCTGCACCGCGATCAAATTCGCGCCCACTAAGAAGACCCAAAATATCAAGCTAAGAGCCCATCCGGGAAAATTATCTGTCCAATATTTGATGACAAGTTGAAGAGCAACTAGATCTGCTGCAGTTGTAACAGCGTCATTGAACCAATAGTTCCAGGTCAGTGCAAAGCCAAACGAATCGTCGACAAAACGCCTAAGTTGAAGCAATCAATTAGCAAAAGAATCGAACGACAGATTATCTGGGCTATGCGTTACCCTGCCATGATGCAAAAGCTTCCAGCAACCGGAATAAAGGCAGCCATCTCGCCGAGACTCAACATCGTCACGAAGACAATGGCACCCACGATGGCGTAGGCAAGTAGCATAGATGCCGGTCCCCCGGTCGCGAGAGCCTTGCCTGATCCCAGGAATAGACCCGTCCCTATGGTACCTCCAATGGCTATCATTTGCACCTGCCGTGCAGATAGGGAACGCCGCAGGTTGTCAGCCGCAGAGGGCTGTGCGCATATAACACCTTCATCGTTTGATACGCGTTGGGTGATCGTATTGGACTTCTTTTCGGCATTGGGTGACATTGTGAATGTTTTGTGGCGATTTATGCAGGTGTTCAGATCGACTTGTGAGGGAGGGACGAGCTTGAGAGGAGAGCAGTCATAGCGAAGAAGATGGTATCAATACCCAACCTGCTTGAAATACTTCATTCAACTAGACAAGCCAAGAAGGAGAAAACCTGGGGGATTGCGGGCAGAACTCTCATTGGATAGAGATACCGCAACATTATTGTCAAGCGGATGATCAGGCCGGTTTCTTGAGACCGGGAAAGCTGCTGGAAACGCATCTTATCACATTTTGCCTATCTACCTAGCTCTGTCCGGGGGCCGGCGGACCCAGGTCTATCATTCAGACTGACCAACCTTCTTTTGTAATACAGCTTGCTTTTTAATAAGACCTCTGATGGATTACTCTTGTTTACTTGTCCAGGACATAGGGACCGCAGTCAAGCAAGGACTTTGATGTTGGCGACCGACTTGATACAACATACAGCTGGACCGAGAATCTTGATTCTTGCGGACCTCAAACAGCAACGTAGTGAACTCAACCCCGGACGGAAAGCTGTGCTCCTCGTCATGGAAGAACTCTGTTCCTCTTCTATATCTGTCGTGCCGACTGTCGGTTTCAGAGAGTCAACAGAGATAGATCGAAACGGCCAAGAGACGTTGTACCATCCTGGAGCAATCAAGCAGATGCAGCCAGCATGACGATCCGTGGGGTGAAGTTTGAGCCGCTGATCTATGTCAAGGAATAGTTTTGACCGATTAATGCTGCCAATCGGAGTGATCTCGGAGAAGAGTTGATTTCGCCGTAAGCAGTGACACAACCGTTCGCCGAAGGCAGTGGGTCCGAGTTTTTGTAGCTGGCACTAATCCTTGATGAACTGCGTCTTGAACCCTGGTAATGGTCATTCGGAGAAGGACCAAGATTTTCAGGTAACTCACCGGCACTCTCCGAACTGATGATGACGTGTCAGAAGGAGATTGTTGGCCGGCATTGAAATGCAAGCGATGTCGGGACTGCTTGTATGATATGTCCGGGACTGATCACAGAGACTTAACCGAGGACAGCTTTGCCCATTTGAGGCCACAGGAAGAGAATGGGATAAGACTTGACTCTCAAGGACACGATTCCACTTCTTGGACAAACATACATTTCGCCTCCAGATACACTGCATAGTTATATGTCATAACGGAAGTGAACCCTCGCTCTCAAGGTCTGAGATCTGAACCAGCTCAAGTTCCACGTGGAAGCCACAACAACGATCTCCATTCCTAAGTTAATTACAATTGAAAGATGAGCGACTCGAAATCGATGCAAGTCGTCGTGTTTCATGGTCCTCGTAATATTTCACTCCAAGAGCGACCGATCCCAAAGAGTATGCATATTTCGATACCTTGCAAGGACGATTCCCGCTCCGAGCTGATGTTGTTCAGTACAGAATGAAGGCGATATTATTGTGAAAGTGGATGTCACTGCCTTGTACGGATCGTAAGCAGGTCACCGCAGGCTATCCTGTTCATTGAGAAACCACAAATTTAACATGAGGCACAGAGAGCTGCATGTATATCGCGGACACCAAGCGTCGCAGACCGGCTTTATCATGGGTCAGGAGTTCGCTGGAACAGTCGTCGAGGCAGGTTCAGAAGTTGAAACTCTCCGTGTTGGCGATTAGGTTGTTGTGCCGTTCACCGTCTCTTGGTAATAACCCCAGCCATCCCAGAATCCTTCACCAGAGCAAGCGGCCATAGCTGACAGCGGAAGCACAGTAGCAACTGTTTTTACTGCCGCAATGGTGGGAGCGCACGCTGTCCTGTGTGTCTTCTATTTGGCACAGCTTTCCTAGATGGCGGGCAGGCGGAGTATGTTCGAGTTCCACTGGCTGATACCACAGCTATCGTGGCGCCAGCGACAATCGCCGACGAGGCACTTGTCCTCATGGCCGACATATTTCCCACGGGGTACTATGCGGTAAAAAGCGGTATGGAAATGTTGACCGGTATGGCTGTCCGTGACAGCACGATCGTAGTTGTGGGATCCGGTCCCGTGGGTCTGTGTGCCATCGTTGCGGCCGCCAACCTTCGACCTCAACGTCTCCTCGCTATCGACAGCGTGAAAGACCGACTGGGGCGGGCGGAGAAGCTTGGAGCAAAGCCTTTGAACCTTCTTGATGGCATGGCGAACCTACAGGCTCAGGTCGAGGCTGTGACCGAGGGTCGCGATGCCGACCTTGTCATCGAAGCCGTGGGCCTCTCTCCGGCGTTGAGAACGGCCTTTGAAATTGTACGGCCGTTTGGAGTTATTAGCAGTATCGGCGTGCATTCTCAAGATTTGAGTGCTACACCTCTATGGTAGATGACATTCTGCTAATGACTCCTAGATACCGTGGTCTGCGAAAGAGGCTTACGAGTACGTACTCGCACCGAGCGCATACCCCCTTACAGTCGAGGTCATTGATACTGATCTGATTCCAGCAAGAACGTCCGGCTTCAAATGGGCCGATGCCCCGTTAGGAGCATTTTCAGTGAGGCTTTAGAACTGCTGGAAAAGAAGCAAAAGTCTTTGGGGTGAGTTTTGCGTGACTGACTTAATTGTCCTGCCTTATCGTTGGAGCGATCGCTGACTACGAGAAGGTTCTTGACTAGCAACCGCATGCCACTATCAGAGGCAGAGGCTGGGTATAAGTTGTTTGATGGAGCTCGAGTGTCCAAGGTGATATTCAAGCCAGGCTTGTAAACAATAGCGTAAATTGATGCGCAAATGAGTGCGATGAATTTGAAGATTCGTTTGCAATATTTTTATCCTCTTGTAGCGCATTCAAAACGTCAGTTGAATTGTTTAAGACGTGTACAACACAACATTTGTGGTACCAATGGGCCGGTTTTTATCTGGCCTTGGAGGCTCGTTTAATGCCCAGGTTTGTTTTTGAGTGTACAAATCAGGCTCTCGGCACCTTGCGCTCAGAATGATTGATCTACAAGCACCAACCATTTGACGAGGCGGATAGGTACCGGGGCCTATGCAGGCCGAGTGAATTCACTATGCTGGTTGGCTTGGTAAAATGGCACGCTGTGATCGGCAGTTCGTGCAGGCGAATCATTGGTATATGGAGTGTCACAAGTCAGCAACTTTGCATATGCCATACAAGTCTGTAACCCAATCATTTCAATGTGAACTATTCATCTGATCATTCCTGCAGTCGCCTTGCAAAATGCCTGATGAGGCAGTGCATGGCGGATTTTGAGCCTTTAGGTCGCTGCCTCGCGATGCAGTGGACGCTGCTGCTTTTCGCAATCCTTCATCATTTAAGGAGTATTGGCGCCGCCGCAGGACCTTTTGCGCTCAGTCAACGTCGTTTTCCGTGATGGAGTTTATGTTGGCCTTTGGTTCAGTTGGCGATTTCATCGCGGTTGCAAAACTAATCAAAGACATCATTGCTGCATTAGATGACTGTCGGGGCTCTGCAAAGAACTATCGCGATGTTGTTCGAGAACTCGAGATTCTTCACAGGACGGTGCAGCAGGTTGAACGGATTTACGACGACAACACTCTTGACGTTCATCTTGATGACTTGAAAGCGCTCGCAACTAGCAATTTGGCTCAGATTAACGGGTCTCTTCACGATTTTCGCGATCGAACTCAGAAGTTCAGCCCCAGTCTCGATGAAGATGGGACGAAGAATCGCGCTCGGGACGCGTTTTGGAAGATTCAATGGAAGTTTAAGGAACATGAAGTCATCAAGTTCAAAGATGAAATAAGAGGGCACACCGTATCTCTAAGCATGCTTCTAGGAATAACGAATATGTGAGTATCAGTATCGCAGCCGGAAGAAACCTGATGCTGACCTCATGTCATTTGTAGTCGCCTGACGCAACGAAGCCATCAGGACTACATCGAACAGGCCTTGAATGACGAAAATCGCACATTAGATGCTATCAAACGATCCGGCCAATCAATGAAGCGATATATTGGAGCAATTGGGAAACAATTATTCTCTAAGCTCAGTTCAGTGGCCGAGATTGGGATACAGATCCAAAGATCCACGTCCAATATCATGACAATGATGGTTGCACTGTCGGGAGAGCTGAACGGGATCAAAAGCATATTAATGAGACTATATGTAGACCGACCTCTTAGCGACGAATATTTCACCCTCGAAGATAGCACAGGTCGAGTGTTTCCGATTCACCTGCGGACCATCACTTCCTGGGATGCTTTCGAATATGTCCTCATGGATCGTTTCAAGGGGAAAAAGGGTGCACACCGAGTCAAGAAGAAGCGATACACTCTAAAAGAACGCGCAAGTGACCGAGAGGTAAACAGGTCACTAGAATGGGAGAGCGCATTCTTAACACATCAAATGGTGGATATGAGTTTGATGTGTAGAGAAACATCTTCGAATGCACAAAAGAGGCATCCTGCTAGCTGTCCGTGGTGCCACGAAATGTCACCTGGAAAGGCTGGTGCTCAGGCTCAATGGTGAGTTCTTCCTCCTGTAATATGATATGAGAGTCACTAAGAACACGCAGCAAAAATTGCAACATGTTCTTCACTCGAGTGGTCGAGTTGGATGATGCAGAGATACTTCCAAAGAGTGCCTCGAAGGGCACAGAACCGAGGCGTCGAGCGATACGTTTCGGTGAACCAGCTTTTCCGAGGTCAAACAATGAAATAGGAGATGAACAGGTTGTCTCGGGCACTCCTATGGTTCCTAATGACAAACCAAAGAGTTGCGGTCCTCAGTATGAGAGATTGAATAGGAAAAGACCCAACACTGCGCATGACTCTGATTATGACGATGAGGACTTCCAAGGACATACGAGGATCACCGTTGTGTCCAAGGGAAAGCGCCCCGGTCCATTCTTTGCGGAGCAAGAAGAGACATTTGCTACAGCGGCACGAAGACTTTTTGAAAATGCCACAGGAAGCTTTATGAAAGACACTCATACCGACGCCGCCAGACCAACACAATTTCTACCCAAGTCTTCGAAACAAAATGTACACCACTTCAAATTCGGATCTCATGCGCGCGACAAATCCTTTAGTCAGTCAATCCCCTTTGCGCAAGGTTTTGAGGACATAAGAAAGACGGCCACCGGAGACTTAGATGAAGACTCAGATGAAGAGAGTCTCCTTGGATCTGAGCAAGCCGGAAGCACACCAGAAGAAGTTCTGGACATGCCAGAACAAATCCCATATGTACCGGAACAGTCGAATTACAGACGAAGAAAGGATCTACAGATACAACTGAACAAAGAATCCGAAGACAATAACAAAATGCTGCTACCTTGCGAACCAGAGATGATGGCATGGATGAGAGCAACGATATACTTGGGAAAGCACCTGAAGAAGCCACAACCTGGTGAAGGCCCCTTCTGCGGCCACGAGAAGTATGAAATAAACAATGCATATGGCTTTAAAGAAATAGTAGGACTGAATTCTGATGCGACTTGCCCAACGCAGTCGGACCAGGAACATCCACAGCCACGGGAACGACTGTGCCTGCCGCAAGATTACGTACACCCCAGGGGTAAGAGACCATATCTTGAAGGAATGAATAGACGAATCTCAACTAACTGAACATGATATAGAAGATCGAAAGTGTTTGGCTCAGGAATGGAGGGCTAGCCATCCATCAAGCGATACGTTACTTGATTGGACTACGCCCACGCAGGATTGGCCAGCTGTACTTCAAAATGGAGCATTCGACTACGAGTCCCTTGGAAAATGTATCTACGACTGTGTCAAAGGCGACTGCAGTTCGAGGTGCCCAATTAGCTTACCGGCCTACAACTTGTGGCAGGTCTTATCACAGCTGACAAGACATATGCTCCTCCCGGGGCATTGCAATTTTCTGGAACCCAAAACCATGATTCACAACGTTTGGAAGAACCTTCATATTGAGGGCCTACTTCTTCTCGAGGAATTCAGGTGTCACATCAAACGATGCGAGGCCTCGGCCTTTGGGCCCGGACCTTATCCAGAAGACTTCCAGCCGGATGATGATATGGGCCGCATACTTGCTCAGCGCTTATTCGAGGCAACAGAGCCGATTATCAATAGTATATCGCTTCTCATTTTAGAAATTGCAAGTTTCAATATGGAGTTCTCGGGTTGCGAATCGGCGTTCAGAAAGGCACTGGGCAATCGAGGACGGGACTTAGAGTTTGAGTAGTGTACACATCTTTCATCCATGTTGGATGCCTAGGTTTGAAGTCTTGGCGGGCTCTTGTTTCTTCTGACAGGTTGTCTTGCCCTTTGTCTTGTCGTATTATTCGCTAGGTCGTAACCGTACAGTGGCTGGAATCGAAAACATGAATATCACTATTACTCTTGAAGGAATGCCGAGCTTCTGGAATGTTGCATCTCGTGATCATCAATTGTCATTATACTATACACATGTCTCTGTTTTGATACAGATGTTCCCAATTACTCCTGCGCAATCTTCAAGACAGCCTTGCCGAAGTTCAGTCCCGTAAGCATACCGACGAAACCCTCCGCAGCCTGATCAATGCTCTCCGTAACGTGAACCTTGACCTTCAAGTCACCCTTGGCAATGAGGGGCTGCACCTTCTCCTGGAAGGGCTTGTACTTGGCGGGGGACAGGTCGACAAGGAAGCCCTGGAAGGAGAGCTTCTTGGCGACGAGGTGGAAGAGTCCACGGACACCCTTCTGCTGCTCGAGAGGGGTGTTGTAGTCGGAGATCATACCGCAGCCGATGATGCGGCCCTTGGGGTTGAAGGACTCGAGGGCAGCCTCGAGGTGGTCACCACCGACGTTCTCGAAGTACATGTCAATACCCTGGGGTGCGAGGCGCTTCAGGGCGTCGCGGGGAGACTCCTTCTTGTAGTTAAAGCCGCCATCGAAGCCGAGCTCGTTGATGATGAAGTCAAGCTTCTCGTCAGAACCGACGGAGCCAATGACCTTGACGCCCTCGGCCTTAGCCAGCTGTCCAACGATCTGGCCGACGGCGCCAGCGGCGGAGGACACAAAAATGGTCTCGCCCTTCTGGGGCTTGCCGATGTCGTAGAGACCCTCGTAGGCGGTCATACCGGGCATGCCGAGGGCGCCGACGAAGAGGGGGAGGTCGACGTTGTGGGTGTTGGGGACCTTGAAGAAGCCCTGGGTGAACTTGGCGGGGATGACGGCGTACTCGGCGTTGGGGCCCATGAAGGAGGTGACGAGATCGCCGGCGGCGAACTGCGGGGTGTCGGAGCGCTCGATCTTTGCGACGATGGAGGAGACGATGGTGGCGCCCTGCTCAAAGGGGGGGATGTAGGACTTGCCGGCCTCGGCGGGGCGCATGCGGCCGCGCATGTAGGGGTCGAAGGAGGAGTAGAGGACCTTGATCAGGATGCCGCCGTTGAGGGGCTGGTCGAGGTCGATGGGGCGGTCCTCGACGGTGAGGTCCTGGCCCGGGACGGGCAGGCCCTTGGGGACCTGCTTGAAGACGAAGCACTTGTTGGAAACGGGAGCCATTGTGATGAGTTGTTGACGATCTGAGAAAAGGGGTATCAAAGGGTTGGGTATCGCGAGATTTTGTAAGATGAATGACAAAAACGTGAAAATAGGATGAGATTGTACTGCTGTTTCAAAAGTCAACTCAATCTTGGGACGGGATAGTCAGTTTCTTAAATGGCATTTGAGCAGTTGCTCCAGATCATGACGAAGCTCCATCGGGCCCGCGCCGGGTCCGACGAGGTGGTCCCTTGATGCTGGCCCTCATGGTAAACACGGGGTTGCCAGCGGCCGGAATGCTCTTCAGAAGGCGATAGAAGCCATAACGTCATGATGGAAGAATGGCATAGCACACGTCGAACAACCCACTCGTGTGGTTGTCCTGTCAGTGGAGTATGGGTTTCGCCTTCTGATCTAGGCTTGGCTGTCAGTTCGTGAAATGGTTCCCCGATCTAGGATAGCCTGGAATTCCTGCCAGCTTGTTTTGGAACGAGTGCTGCTCTCAAAGATTGCTTGGCTGATCGCTTGACCGCTTGCCGTATGGATAATTAGTAAGTCAGCTCTCTGTGCGAACATATTTTTTTTCTTCCAATTTTTTGCCCCTCATTTCTGTCACTGACATCAAGATGCCGCGGCTCATGGCGGGGCTACCCGCTGCACGAAACGGTAAGAGGTCTGTCGCTAGGCCAATGAAGCTAATTGATCCCTCCATGGACCGGGGACTTGGTTCCTGTTCTTTCTTAGGGTTGTTTTGTTGATAACGTTATGGTCGGCGTTAAGGTCCTAATGCTATGCTCTGTAGTATGTACCGCCACGTCGCTCTTCTCTGGTCTGCAAAACTGACGGAGTCGGGATTGCCGCTTTGTCCAGGAAGCCCCGAGTCAGGAGTCCGTCCCATCACTGACTAGCTCTTGACAGCATTTCGTCGTGTCGCCTCAGACAACTGAGAGGGCCACAGAAATCTCTGCCATGAAGCAATGATGACAAAGCGAACACCAGACATCTCCGGAGCTGGCTGCCCATTTCGGTGCTCTGGCTCCGAACGAAGCTCCTAGAGCCGCCGGCCGTGCTCCCGGTTACCAGGTCCGCGGCCGAGGCATGGAGAGTCTGGCCAGGCGGTCGGGACGGAGCCGAGGTTGACTTTGGACCTCTTTGATGAGCCTTTCAAGCGTTGTAACTTGTAGACGGGGTCCGGGGCAATTGATGGTGTCGGGCAAATGATTGCTCCACAAGTCGAGCTCTGAGAGAGGGGCCAGATTCAGTTGTGAACTTGTGTGATGGTATTCTTGATTTCAAAGCCACAATTTCCGCCCTCCACATCGTCCCAATTCCGCTACCTATCCACTTGGGGCGATCATCCACTGATTCTTCTCGAATTCTCGAAATCTCCGATCGCCCGCGGCCCATGCTGTTCTTCAATGCTGTGCCGCGTGACATGCTGGCAAGGGTCTTAAGCAGCATCTACCGACAGCAGATGTTTTGTTGTCGCCATCATCGTCGCGTGTCCCTTGATGGTTTCTTTTTCTGGGATCTTTGTTTCGGACGCGGTATCCGCGGACACAGTCACGAGTTGAACACCTGATGATGATCCGGTTTCAACCCAGTACTCCTCATAGCCCGTTGGCACGAACCCGATCTTTTCGAAGAACCGTTTTCCATCCCCTGTGGCCGTGAGTGCTGCCAACAAACATCAGTCATCACTTTTTCTCCACGCGTGCTCTCGATAGAACTCACCCGACTCCCCGATCACCTTCCACCCTACCTCCGCCGCAGCCTCGACGACAGAGTTCATCGCGAACCTCCCGAACCCAGGCAGCTTCATTGTGGTCTGGGGCTCATCGGTTCTCTCGATGTGGAATACATGCAGACCAATCTCTGCATCTTGGTCGTTCTCGCCTGGAAACATGGTTGCAGGATCAATGTCCGTCTCCTTGAGCCTGCCAATCAGCAAATCGCGCCAGAATGAGGATAGAACAGGGAGTGCGATGATGGTACCGGCCAAGGGCCATGACATCCACTCGCTTCTGACGGCCGTGAACCAGAAGCATTGCGCAAGCTCTGGTGCCGCCTCTGTCCAGCTGCGGAGGCGATCCAAGGTGAGCGGCGCGGGGTACATATCCTGGTCCGACTCGAAGATGTCCTTCAGCATACTGTCGTCGAGGCCTTCTGCCATTAACGGCGTTTTCGGCTCTTTCTTCGGAGGCATCTTGATGTCAAAATCTGTCCAAATTTGGATGATTGATGACGTTGAAAGAAGGTGAAGACACAGCTAGATGACGCGGCTTACCTCACGCCCTAATCGTAATTGTTGAGGACGCGCAGCGAAATGCCGGCATGACGCACGCTGTGGAAGTTCTGCCACGGGGGTCGAACCCCACCAGATCTCCCCCTGATGCGACCCAAGCCACGGCGAGCAAGGTGCCCGCCCGCGAGAGTATGTAAGGTAAGACAACGTGGGTTGGATGACGGATGCCTGAACTCGGAGTAATGAAACAGTGTTCGACATAGCATCGAAAGATTTCTCTTCGAAGTATGGTTCAGTGAGAATCGTCTTTGAAAGTTTGCATTTGTGAAGGCTTCAGAAGCTGGCTCTGTCTAAAGTTTGGCTGTGAAGGTTCCGCATTGTTCATCCTCCGCAGTCATCCATGGATTGGAATTTCCGTACATGATTTGACGAAAATGTTTTCAATTACCGCCAAGCGCGCAGGTCTCTCCAAGGATGTTAACTCGCCAGAAAAATCCAAACCTCGCCTAGGTGATATTGTAAAATTTTCCTGGTATTTTCCTAGGTCTGAGAGATGATGGTTGCAGCTTGCTCAGCAAAGGCGTAAGTCGCAACCTGCAAGTGGGCAGCGATCGGAACAGGGAACACAGAAGTGTCCACTACGAACAGGTTGTCGAATCCCTTCACCTTCAAGTCATTGTCCACAACCTTGCCCATAGACGCGGTACCAGAGGGGTGAAATGCAGATCTTTCACGACATGGAGTATTAGCATCAAGATACTAGGAACACTTTGCGACGTTGTGCAACTTACCGGACTGACGCGCGAAGACGATTGTTCAGGACATCGTCCGTGATCCCTTCTGTAAGAGCATCCTGCCCTTCAGAAATGACCTCACCTCCAAGGATCTCTCTTCCCAAAACAGTGGTGTTACTCCCAGCGAACCGGTACTGCAGGCGCTGAGCCTCTCGATGCACATATTGGTCGACGTTGGTACCAAAGTAGTTGGGATCGACGACCGGGAAGTCGCTGGCGTTGGTGGAGGCAAGAGTAACGGTTCCCCGAGCAGTCGGGAGAAAGAGGATAGACATGAAGCTGACGGTGCTGCCACTAGCACCGCCTCCGTAGCTGAAGTACTGGAACACATGCTCCAAGAGCGTACGGCTTTGCTGAAGCAGACGATGCGTGCTCGGATCCGGCGCCACGCCCTCATCGGCTTCGATCGCTGCAGCCAAGCCCGATGCATCGACGGATGTGGACACCATGAAATCCTGCGGGTTACCCCATCCATACTGCTCCTGGTCGAAGAGGGGGTTTCCGGAACCTGGGATCCAGCCTTCCTCTGGGTTCCTAATAGCCCACGATGTTGTTGAGGAGGAGTGCTCCATGAAGTTCTTGCCCACTTCAGGTGATTCGACCTTGACCTCAATACCATGGCGCTCTAACTCATCACGAGGACCAATGCCGGAGAGCATGAGGATCTGAGGAGTTCGAAGAGCGCCGGCTGATAGGATGACTCGTTGGCTGAAAATTTGTGTGCCGTTTGCGAGCTGAACTCCGGAGGCTTTTACGGTTCCATCTATAGAGACGAGCACTTTCTCGACCAGAGTATCAGCGAGCACAGTAATGCCATCGAGCGGATAGATCACTGAAGCGATCTCTCTTCGTCCGTTGTGCTTGTTCTCGGAAAAGTCACCAACGCCAAGAGGATTGCCTGCGTTGCCATCAAGCCCCGGCAGGGTAGGTACTCCGATCTCATTCCACGACTGGAGCACGTATTCGTGAAGAGGGAAGGGCCTGTTTGTCGACGTGACCGTTTGAGCAAAGACGTTGCCAGTGTAGCCGTGCTGTTCCGGGTTCCGGTCGGGGTGTTGGAAGGCTTCGGACTGCCTCATGAAGGGAAGCTGGCCGGCATATGACCAACGGTCATCGCCGACCGTAGCTCCCCATTCGTCGTAGTCGGCTTTGTCGCCTCGAACCCAGTTTCCTACATTACAAGGGTTGTTTCAGTAAAGATGAAGGCTCTTCGCAAATAGGAGACAGCTCAGAAGACCTACCAGCATTGATCAAAGTGCCGCCTCCCAATCCGGTGCCTAGAAAGATGTCGAGGGTCCGGTTGTTGAGGTTGACTTGCGGCGCGGTAGGAACGCTCCATCGAAGGTCTGCACCACCAGTGCCGTTTGGCCAGATGATGTCTTGCCGATCGTTGGCATTGGGGCCAGCTTCGATGACCAGAATGTTGAGGCTGGTGTTCAGGCCCAGCAGGCGGTTCGACACAACTGAACCGGCCAGGCCACCACCAACAACGACGTAGTCCCACAGCATGATCTGGAAAATTTGCCGGTCTTAATGAAAACAGGATAAAGATTGGCAAACGCTCGGTACTATAAGGTCCAATCTCGACGTCACTTGCAGGAGGAGAGCAGCGGTTAAATACACTACCACAATGACCACAGTGCCCCTTTCTCTGTCAGGGCTCGCGTCTTGGCCCGAACATGAGGCCGAACGATGATTCCAGTTCACTGAGACTTAAAATGACGATCAGGGTTAAATCGGTCCTTTCAGCATCGTCATCACCGGCACGCATCGTAACCTTCCTATGGCGGCGACCTCTCCGTGCTTTCATCGAGGCTTGGCTGAGCTATCAATCTTTCGAATTGCTGTCATTGGCACATTCTCTTGCGCAATATTTCTAGGGGGATGTCTTGGGTGCCCACCAAGGAGCTCCCGGGGTAGCTCAAGCACCTCGGTGGCTGTTGCGATGGGTCTAGATATCAGCCGGTGGGATGTCAGCAAGTTGCATGTCAGCAGGTAGCATGAAGCGTCATTTCGGATCACATCAGGTGAAGCTCCTCATTCCTGCATTGGATGATATCAGCTTGACAATCCAGGAATACTGAAGGCTTGGAGTGATTCAACTAGTACTGCTGTGGTTATTGCTTTCCTCAACTCCTGGGGAAGGATTTATAAGGCTACTTGCCTACGCGAGGATCTATCGAAGTCTTAAATCAATACAACCCTGCATCAACGGGTCTTCATGTAGGACATGTCAGTAAGGCTGTTAAATGCCAAGCACCCGACGGGATGCTGAATCGATGCTACCAACTGACATTGCCAGTCCCCGTGGCACATCTCCTTTGTCTGCAGAATTGAGAGCAGCAACCCCGCAACAGAGTGATGGTGTTTTCTCCTAAGAAATACATACGGGGAAGCTTGAATTCGCGCTTTTGTATCTGTCATTATGGGGGGGTCTTCTTTATACCTTCCAAGTCTTTCTGCGGGAAACTTCATTTGCTCCTGGTCGTTTCAAGGCAGGAACGATGACAAGTAAAATACTTTCGGCACGCTCGAAATGAATGATTATCAGATCTATTTGTGCCCACACGAGGTAACCATAACATGCCAGAGTCCCGTTTCTTATTCTCACTCAGGCAATTGAAAGTAGATCAACTCCCCTCTAGCGGCCTCGTGCTGCTCTGGATTGTTCACGGTGGAAAGCAGGAGGTGGTCAAGCCCCGAAGTTCCCCGTATGCAATTATAAATAATACCAATCACCGATACAGCAAGCATAATACCGCTATCGCTGGCAAATATCATCGACGGGGCCAGACGCATGATCCTCAACGCTTCGACCATCGGCTGCCAATGGTGCTTGATCTCTTCTGGCATATACAGAGGCCCGCTCGTTGTCTTCTCGAAACCCCTCTCTGGTGGGAAGGGTTGAGGTTGTCGATTGCCAGCACGCAGAACATGTAAGACCTGCATGACATAAACTAGAGTTGAGTTGTATATCAGTAGATCCGTCGCCTGGTTAGCTGATTTAACGTCTATAGCCCTCGTCAAGATTTCTTTAACCCAAGGGATCGTGATGCCATCTGCGTCTTGTGGCAGATGCAGCCACACTTCTGTGGCTGCCTTGGGATTGACGACTTCCCAGTCTTTCCTCCACTTGTACAGGCGTGACAGATGATCCCACACCCTCAACTCGACATCAAACTTTTGGCGTTTTGTCAAAGAGGTTGATGAGGGGCCTAGCATAGCGCCGAGGCCAGGCAGGTCGACGTACATGTCTATGAGTCGGTCGTGCAGGGTCTTTGGGTTGTGCTTCCAGGGAATGGTCTTCCAGGCTACTTGTTCGAAGAAAGAGGCTTCTTTGTGGAAGAAAGAGCTGCATGACTGAGTTTAAGATGTTCGAATGAGCCTCAAGTCTGGACCAGTGAGTAGTTCTATTGGGGATACTTACGTGTTGCGCTCGTATCTGTCTAAATATCGTCAACATGGGCTCGTGCTGGAAGTGCTCTGGCCCGCAAAATTCAATGACTTGAATCACCCCAACGTAATGTGGAAGGTTTGGATTGGCCTCGATGGTGTACTGTTGAGTTGTCAGCTCAGCACATGGTGTGCCTTAAGCCACATCTTCGAGCCTTCAGAACGCGAAGACTGCTTCGAGGAGAGATACACGTACCTGGTACATGCATAACACCATGATAGTGAGAGCCCAACGCGCCATGTCATCTTTTGACTTTTCTTGAAGAGCCCAGTGAAGTGCTCTGATCACGCCACCGTTCATCTCGTAGCCATCCGACACCATTTTGGGCTTTCCCGTCAAAGTTCCCATGTACGCCAAGGCAGTCGCCAGGCCTGCGGTGTAATGCGCCTTTTCTGCCTTTGTGGAGTTCGCCGATATCGACGTCCTCAGCAACGGTTTCCAAAACGGTGCCCAACGGTAGTTAGCCAGCAAATGCGAGAACGCCATCGTGTTACGGAAGGCGGTCAACGGTAACTCTGGTGCAATCTTGGCCCGCAGCACTGGCGCGGAGGTCACGGGAACTAAAGCTGGGCTGCCGCTGCTCTCCCCACTGACCGTGTAGTTCTGCATGCGGAGCGGCAGGTCATAACCCAGGCATTTATGACCTGACTTGACACATCGGACGCATTCTGGGCGTTCCCTGCCTGATGATTGGACGATCCGTCAGCTCGGAAGTGCCCGCGATGAGATGTGAGATCCTCCCGGCCGGAGGTACTTACCGCATTTCACCCGCCTTCGCCGGCAGGTGTGACAGTAGCCGCTCGTAGGCGCGCGTCCCATCTCGGCGGCCTGACTCGTAATGGACAGAGAAGAAACGACGCTGTGTCTCGGTCTGCAACTTGCCAGCCCGAGTCCTGAGAAGGGTGCGGGATGATGTGTCAAAGGCGCGGAGAGGCGTGTGGTTGTCTCCAAAGAGAATGACAAGACAGTGATTGTGTTCTCAATCAGGAAACTTTCGTCGGCCTCAATTGACAGCAAACAAAAACACCGTCTCTGTGATATTTAAACTGCGCGCTTCAAAGCAGGCGTGGGGTGCAAAAGTGGTTTTGGCCGACATGAAACGGTCTGCCACTGACAAATCCGGAGCGTTACCCGGATGTGCGGGTCTACTGACGACGTTCGTCAGCAAATATGCTGCACAAAGGTTCGAGGCCCTGTCAGCGCTAAACCCTTCATGAGAGAGATGCTGCATAAGCGATGTATACCCTGGGCATTCGTAAGTGCGGGCCTATCACGACTCTTCTTGCAGAAGGATTCATCACGACTATTGGATGATCTACCGCGCCGGAGATGTCTCGATGTAGTAAGTTTGCTCGAGATGCAGAGAACCGCGCATAAGGCTGATATTATGTGTTAGCAGGCATCATTGTTGAAGTCTGACTGAATGAGGTGCTAAAGTCCCCGTGATTCTGAGGGAAGGTAAGGGGAGTGATTTGGGGGAAGCAAAAACGAGAAAAAAGACACAGTGATACAAAACGCAGAACTTCCAACGTCGGATAGTATGACTTGGTGTTGAGCTATCATTGAAACCATTCTCGCCAGCTTGATTATGGGCTGGGAAAATGTGTATCAAATGCTGTCAGCTGTGAGACGGCCTGCCTCTTCCACAAAAGAGTACCGATGGTCAATATACCCATTCAAATAGAATCTGTGGATTGAGCAAGAATCTATTTCCCTTCCTCTTATTCCTAGAAACAGACATCCACACGAGTGGCAAAGCACCACGCAGCTGTGGGGCTCTGGACCAATGTCCTCCCCGAAGGGTCAGCAACTTTGTCCTGCTATCGCAGGTGATTACTGAATTTTGGTTAGACACAGGGACCGACTGAGTGAATACATGTAGGTTAGCCTGATGGGCTGAGATTTCATAATGGTAATGTTGGCACGATACACTACTCAAGGTTCCTGTGGAAACATTGCAATAGGACGCAAGTACTGCAACGAGCCTCTCGTGATAGATCCGTGAAAGGAGGGCGGACAGAGCTAAACTCTGGAGAAGATAGATTCCCACACGCACCGAGTGGCTAGCATATCACCGCACATACTAATGGCGACACAGTAGCGGCAAAGCCAGTGTGTGATCAAATCTGTCAACTAGTGGGTCCGGTGGCCATGTCGAACATGGACTCCATTGTCATTAACGTCTATATACGACACTCTCCGTCTGCACGTCAACTGTATGTTCTTGGGGCTAGCGGTTACCCTGTTGCAACCCCACCATTTTTGTACTCTCTCCGACAGGCAGCCCATATATCAACGAACACGAAGTCGTACCCTTATGTAATCATAGTCTCGTCCCTTTCAATTACGACTCTAAGAGTATCTTTAGGACGCAGCGTGAAATTCGGGTTCGCCAACTCGATTGTACCGTCGTATCCAGGCCGTGGCGAGAACGTAAAGTTGCGGACGAGGCCAATGATGACGGACTTGATGTTGAGTAGCGCCATATTCTTCGCGATGCATCCAGAAGGGCCCTGGAGGAATGCCTCCATGGCGTAGGAGTCCTTAGCGGCACGACCGTCGGACCAGCGGTCGGGGTCATAGATGTGCGCGTCTGGGCCCCAGAAGGTGGTGTTGAAGTGTGCGACGGCTGGGCAAAGGGTGACCTGAGTGCCCTTTGGGACAAAGACGCCACAGACTGTGACGTCTTCTGCGGCCTCGCGGGGGAGGAAGATGCCTGGAAGATCATAGATGTCAGCAAAACCTGCGAGAAGCTAACGAAGGGGTTGGAGCCCACCTGGTGAGTAGTATCGTAGAGTCTCGCGGAGGAAGTTGTTGAGGTATGAGAGATGCTCGACCTCCTCATAGGTAGGATCCCAGTCCCGCGGCTTGCCAGAGCAGAGCTCGTGGACTTCCAATTTGAGGCGCGCCTGGACGCCGGGGTTCGTAGCAAGGACGTACGCAACCCACATGAGGGTTGAGCCAGTTGTCTCATGGCCTGTTACTAACGTCAGAAGTTTTCTTGGGTAAAAACAGGTAGTTCATTCCATAATGGCTCACCTCCAGCGATGAAGTTGAGCATGTACTCCAAGAGCTCTTCATCAGTCCACAGCCTCTCCCCCTCCTCAAATTGACAATCTTCCATAATGAATGTCAGGATATCCCTTCGCTCCGATCTCTTCTCACCATCCAATCCGCGCTTCTCCCGCATCATCTCCATAGTGCGGTTGCCGACGCAGTTCAGGAGCATGGTCCTGATGAGAGCCACGTCGTTGAGCCACATCTTGTTGCTCTTCAGTGGCAACCACGAGCGGACCGGAATGTGGCCGTCGATGAAGGTGATGATATGTCCAAATGCGGGCTGACGGATGATGCGCTCGTACACGTCGTAGAAGTGCGCCTCTGGGAGCGAGATGCTCTCGAGGTCGCAGCCGATGGAGCCGATGACGAAGACGTCGAGAGTGGCCTTGCGAAGGAAGCGCTCGACTTTGACTCGGTCAGCTTGCATATCTGAATAAGAGGGAAGGCAGTGGGTTTAGCTACCGTCAACCAACTTGCGGTCTTCACCTCCCAACTCGTGGCTGATAGCCTCGCAGAGCAGACGGGCCTTGTTCTGGAATACGGGGAGCATTCTCCGGGTATTTTGGTTCGAGAATGCCTCTGCGATGATGTCTCTTAGCAAACATGTATGCCCTACACTGGTTTCGAAGACTCACTGGAAAGCTGTGTCCGCTGCCTCTTCCTGTCATCGCCCTCAGAGAACATGAGTCCATGACCGGTGATGGGCGAGAACATCCTGCCTGCAAGCTGTGACTTTCGAAAAGAGTAGGCCTTCGTCTGTTGCACCTCCTTGAAAGCCGCAAGACTGTTGACCATGAGCGTCTCCGTGTTGCCAATGGTCAGATACCGCACGAATGGGGCATCGGGCCACCTGCGCATCCAGGAAATAAAGATATCGGCGGGACCAGGAGTTTTGATCTGGTTGAGCATTTGTCCGATGAAGAAGTGTCCTCCCTGGTAGTTGAATTCGTCAGCGACAATTCCCATGTAGTTCCAACGAATTTCAACTTCAGAAGAGTGAAGTCCTGTGGTAAAACCTTCATCATGACGTACCTGAGGAGTTGGAAGATGGCGCATGGGCGACACCCAGTAAGGATAGATGAAAACCCGGTAGCCTACCAACACAAGGCCCTGAATCGCGAGAGATGCAAAAAGTAGCAGCCCAGCTGTGAAGAGATTGACATGGTGAAATCTCCAGGTAAGAGCGGTGATGAGGAGCGATGCTCCCACACAAAGCCTTGCAGCCATGCTACAACAGCGATCTTGTCTGCAATGATAAATAAATGTCCAAAGCGCCCATGCAAGACGACGAAAGGCAACCAAATATTAGGGCAGGAAGAGTATTACGCAGGGTATCAAATCGCAAGACAGAGCGTTAGAGGGAAATAATGGTGAGAGTGAGCATAAGTGAGTCGAGGAGGCTTGTTTGCTAAGTCGGATGGAAACTTCAAAGGTTTCCTCGTCCTCTCTTGCCACAGCACAAGTCAACGGGCACCGTCAGGCTTTTGTAGAAAACCTCCCAGAGCCCTTTCACAATAGTGTTTCGAATTCCTTTGTGTTCTTTTTGGACATCAAGCCCATCCATGTGCCGTCCTCCCACACCCAAAAAGGAGGGGGGCCTGGCGGCAGAGCGGGGATTTCATAAACATCGAGTATGCAAAGCCTCCTCCAAACTGCATTGTCACCGATCCCACCAAGGATCTTGAACCATGTGTCGACCAACAAATTCTTCCAGACAAGCAAACATTTCGTCACACACTAGCGCCACCAACATAAAAGCTCAGGATGGGGAAGAAATACATCCGGCATGGACTCACCGCAAGATCAACTTGCAATCTATTCTCGTCGTCACACAAGGATCTCCTCATCAACTTCCCTGGCAAAAGTCTCTCGCATGGCCACTGGATCTGGCTTCATGGGAACACAAACTGCTGAATTACCCCTGACGGCAGCGTGACACCCACGAGGGGGGTGGAGTTGGGATCGGAAGCAACAACAAACGTGAGGCTGATCCCTGTTCAATCCCCGTCACCAGCGATCAACGACTATCTGCAGAAGGGGTGGGCGTCCATGCGCGAAAAGGCGAATACGCGCGGAGACGATGGCGGTCTCGTTGTCCTCGGTGCCCCGGGTCTTTGACAGCGTCCGGCTGACAATCATCTCCCTCACCGTTGGGCGGCTGCAGAATCGCAGGCAGCATAATCATGAAAAGAACGCCGCCGGTAACCTTTCCGAGTATTAACCAGCAAAGCGGATGCTGCCGCGACGTCACACAGGCCCAGTCCTTTGGAACAACCCTCCCACCGACTCCAACTCGCCTTCTCGTCCGCCTCTCTCGACTGAGACACGAGAAATTGCCGTCTGATGCGTCCTGCAGGCCAGACAAGAGGCAGGGCTGATAGGTCCGGAGTCCCAGATTGCGTGAAAAGAGACAAGAGAAGACTATTGACGCTGGCGTAACAAGTCGGGAAGACCTTGCGAAAGGCTCTCTGTGGTTCACCGTCGCTGCGGCCGCCGATGCGACCAGAGACGGGTACACGCTGCATCGACGACAATTCCTATGCAATTCGCTGCACATGCGCACGCGCGAGATCATCGTCGCCATCAATCACTCCGCATCAGCATGTCGCGGAGCATCCGGAACCACCCTCATACAAGCTTATTGGTGGATGTATTTCCCCTTGTACGACCTCAAAGTTGCAGGTTGGCCTAGTTGACTGGCCATTCGGCGGTTGCGCCTGCTTTTCACCCCTCGCACGGTACTTGACAATCTTCTGCGAGATCTGAGCGAGGATTTCCGATGTATCGTGATCCCCCGGGGGCCGCGGCCAATGTCTCTGATCCAGTCGGCGGGCGGGGATAGGGGAGAAAGGGGTGTGAGGCCGCGATCGATCGTACAAGATCTTTTCCCAAGAGCTGGGAGCGACGTCGATTCCCGAGAATCGCCTACGGATATTAAGTGGCTGAAACCTCTGCTGTGATTGGGTCGAATCTCTGCAGTCCTTGCAGCCGCCAAGTCTAATAAGGAGATGCTGAGCAGAGTTTACAGCAGCTGAAGACTTCTCAAAGACGAGGCACTTTCCTTTTCTGTTGACACGAAGCAAAGATGTGGTGGCTTAGGTGAGTAGTGACGCAGTTTCAAGGGTTTGATGAGAAGAGTTCCAGAATCAGGGCGAGCAATTCAGACCCGACAGAGGGTTTCTTCTATCTGCAGGCTGTCGGGGATCACGGCTCATCATGACTTGCGAGGGTGTTACACGAGAAAGGATGCCATGGCCTGGTCAATTTGAAATCTTGTATGCTTGTATCCAGGCGCCCGGCAATATTGTCTCACACACCCCCTACGCTATGGGTAAATAGCCTTAGGGAGCTTGCAGATGGGGCTGGCCGTGATTACTGATATGAGCCGTCATCTGAACTTGCGCGTGACACGAGACATGACCAGCATGATCGTGGGAAACCCAAGTACCTGGCTTTGGAGTTGAGGTGACAGCCACGATATCGAGGGTAGCCTCGCAGTCACACTTCACGACTATTTTGGGAGCAAGTCAATTTCAGAATCGTTCAACATGAGAATTAAAGTATTGTACCGGTGCCTGCTTTTGCGTTACGCCACACTCGGCCAGCTCAGTGGAACAGACTGCCAACAAATACATGTGCATACATGCGGCGACGTATGTCACGCAAGACAGTAAACACTTATGCAGCTGTTGATTCTCCTCAACGTCGAGGAGGCAGCGTAGTCGTGATACAACCTTGTCTTTTCTAAAGTTGAAGCAAAGATGCGCCGGACGTCTGGCTTTATGTCAATTGATGTCTTGAGGCTCAAACCAAACGATGACCAGGGTCTGTCGCTTTTCTATGGGCCATTCAATATCCGAGAGCTCCTTTTCGGAAAGCATTCGAGTGATGGAGACTGGTGCATCTCACCCCTTGTGTTTCATCGCCTGGATCCCTCTCCAGAGTCTTGATCCAGTACGATTAACCACTGCGAAGTCGGCCGCTGACCCATCAGCGAACTAATCCCACCGGCAGTTGCAGTAACATGGTGACCAAGCATGCCATACTCCTGAAAGTGTTCGTCTGAAGGGGCAGAGCACTCCCGGTCGCTGAGTCTTCTGGGTCGGCGTATGTGCGTTGCTGCATCCCACCGGTAAATGAGGAAATAATCAGGGAATCAATGTAAGACTCAAAGCGTCATTGAGCAGTAGTCACGATGGAGCTCTACGTGTGGGTTCACTCTCGGCGTTCTTTTATGCACCGAAGCCGAAGACTCGGACTCAAAGACTCAACAGCAAGTCGCAGATATAAACTGCGAAATACTTCAAAGCATTCGATGAAACTACACAACAAGAGTTTTATCTTGCTCGACTCTCCCGAAACATTCTAAGTCGTCCTCTTGAGCTTCCCAAAGCTCCCTCCCCTCTGCATCAGGTCTCGATTGACATGGCGGAACCAAAATTAAACATCATCATTGTCGGCTCCGGCTTAGCAGGCCTAGCGGCCGCCAGTACTCTTCGAGAACACCACAATGTCACCGTCTACGAGCGTGGCAGCCAAGACGTCGCGACCGGTGGACAAGGTCTATCCATATATCCCAATGCCGAGAAAATACTCAAGACCGTAGGATTCAGCGCTGATCGCGCTGGTGCCGTCGGTTGCCAAGGGTACCGCTCATTTGACAAGAGCGGCAAGATGTTTGATGATTTCCCAATCGACTTCCACGCTCGATATGGAGGCGATATGTTGCTCATGAAGCGGTCTGATTTCAGAGCCGAGCTTTTACGTCTCGCGACAGCCCCGGCCCAGGAGACAGATGGTGTCCGTGGCGAGCCTGCGAAGATTTTTTTCAACACTCCCGTGGTTGATTTGGACCCAGAGTCAGCAACTATCACCTTGAAAGACGGCTCCACTGTCCAAGGCGATGTGGTGGTTGGTGAGTTATACAATTTCCAAAGATTTCAAAATGCTTAACCATGCAATCGTAGTTGCCGACGGCGTCCACTCGGCTTTACGCCATCGGATCACGGGCGACAAGGCTCACGCCCCAAAGAAGACAGGACTTACCCTTTTCCGTCTTGCTGCTTCGATTGAGGATATGAAGCGAGTCTTGGGTGACTCCTCAGATTGGCTGCCTCCGCCAGAGGATGACAGCCGCCTCAACTTTGTGCTAGCTGGGGACAACACCAACCGTGTCGTCGTTCATTATCCAATGCAACATCACAACTACAGGAACTTCTCTTGCCTTTTTCTCATGCCTGACAGTAGAGCGAATGTCGCGGAGTCATGGTATGCAGACGGAGAGAAGGAAGAGATGTTGGAGGTCTACAAGGACTTTCCCGAAGAGATCCTTAAGATCATGAGGTATGTCGCCGAACATCGGCTGCTACTAGGCTTTTGCTAATGCGGTGTTACCAGTGTGGCCACGGAACTCAAAATCTGGGATCTCCAGGATATGGACCCGCTCCCAAACTGGAACCGTGGGCGGTCCATCCTCATTGGCGATGCAGCTCACGCCATGACCCCTCTTCAAGGTCAAGGTGCGAACTTGGCCGTGGAAGATGCACAGGGTCTTCAACTTCTGCGCCCCGGAATGTCCCACGAGGCAATCGCATCAGTGCTGCAGACAATCGACAAAGTTCGGCGACCACGCGCGACAAGAATTCTCCTTGACACTCGTAAACAAGCCAGGAATGCTACGATGGAGGAGAGGTTGTCAAAGCTGGACTTCAATTGCAGTTACAAATCCATCCATGAGGTCCTCAAGGCCGACACTTCGGGAGGAAACTGATGCATTGATTGCTTCCAGAAGCTTTTTCTCGTGCACAAATGGGAAAGCCATTAGATTTAGAATTGAAAGGCTCATGAGGTGTGTGACTGAAACACGGGCTTACTGGCACTGATATCTGCGGTAAATGTTGTTAGAGCCGAAGAAATGATCTTTGTCGAATTTGGGCTAGGTGAATCACAGTACTGCTTGGGTGAAGTATCAGTTTGAGTCACTTATTTTAAATGGTCTCCGCCTCTGGCAACCTGCTCAACGGGACTTTATTGTTTGTGAAGACACTTGGAGGAATCGAAACTCAGCTGCCCATACCCATAGTGTCGTTCGCAGCATCCATGTTCAAGGTAGACCATTCTACCGAGAACTTGATTTCCGAACGAGTTCCAACCAAACAAAATGTTCAAAGTTCCCATAAGGCTTTGAACAGGCCGTCCTCCATCTCAAGTAACGCCCGAGGCGCACCATCCTCAACCACCTCCCCTGCATCCAGCATGATCACCCGATCACAGGACGTAGCCATCTCCTTCCGATGTGTGACCATGATGACCGTAAATGCCCCAAACTCGGAGTCCAGTATCCGATGAACTCTCTTCTCCGTCGCAGTATCCGCTCCCGACGTGATCTCGTCAAGGAGCAGAAGACCGCCGTCAACACCGGTTTCTCGACGTCTCACCCTGCGGCGTAGTACCGCGCGAGCAACACTGAACAATTGTTTCTGGCCCGCACTAAGCTCGACTCCGCTGATCACGGCATTAAGTCCGCCCTTTTCTTCGACAGCAGTGTCGAGACCGACATCGCAAAGAACGGCAGCACACTCTTCGTTAGTTGCAACGGAGACTGGGTCGAGATTAGCGTGGAATGTTGTGCCTTCAGGGAGGAAAACAGGGTCTTGCGAAGCTGAAATGACGCGTTCGCGGAGGGTGATACGGTTGACGGTGTTGAGGGGAACGCCATCAATCATGATGGCAGGCTGCGGATTTGTAAAAGTGCTAGCTTGCAAGGGGTCGATGAGGCGTAGTAGTAATGCAAGGATAGAGGATTTACCGCTGTTCGAGGTCAGTAAACATGGCTCGATAAAGGGCTTTTGCCGGCTTACCTTCCCGTCCTTCCGCATATAGCAACTTTCTGTCCGGGTTCAAAACTCATGTTCAAACCTTTCAGGACCTTATCACCGCCATTGTAGCTTACGTCCACGTTGCGTATATCCACGTGCCCGTTCAGTGGCCATGCTTCATCAGGTGTAACATCATCTCCCACGGAATCTTCTCTCTCAGTCTCCTCTCCGAATGCTTTAAGGCGACCGATTGCGCCAAGAGACGTTTCAAGACCGGTGTACGCGACCACAATTGTTGTCAGCGTGCCGCCGAGTGTGATGAGAGTAACCAGACCTGCACCGACATTACCCGTGTCAGATCTTAATTGCGTCGCGAGAGCCACTAGGAGGACAGCTACAACAGCCACTATGATGTTCATTGTCAACATCAGCCACTGTTGTGCCATTGCTAACAAATACGAAGGACGCTGAGAATCATCGAGCAGGGCGTCGTTGCGAGCAATTTGATGAGGAAACCAATCGAAAGCCCGGATGGTGGGCAGGCCATTCATGGTGTCCAGAAAGTTGGTACTGGAGAAAGACTGGTTAGAATGCGGGCTGTTCGAGTTGAGTTCGAGGCTTGGAAGTCTTACTAGAGAGGATTCTTTGCCTCGAGATCAAGAATACGAAGCCGCTTGGAGGTGGGAAGATAAATCCTCTGAACCACCCACAGCAACAACATGAAGAACGGATAGCTAATTGCCAGCCAGGCTGAAGACACCGCAATCACAGCAGCCTGCCCAATGGCGGTGGCAAGACAGAAGCAGAGGTTGTTAGTCATGCGAGGCAGTTGCGTATCCATGATGTTCATATCTTGGCTGAAGAGGTTCAGAATCTTGCCAACGTCCGTGGTGCTTAGAAATCGGAGACTGCTATTCATGACTGTGTCCACTGTGGCATGGTGAAGGTCTGTCCCAGTAAGACGTACGGCAGTGCGAAGCATGATGAGGCCAGCAGGGAAAACGCAGATAACGCCACCTGCTCCGATGAGGGCATAAAGTCCCATCCAGTAGGCGAAGCTATGCTGAGGCGAGGACGATGTCGAGTCTGCCGACCAAAACTTGAGCCAGATTGTTGGGAAGTTGGCACAGAAGCCTACACCAATCACTAAAACAGCGAAAATGATGAGAGGAAGAGGCTTCATGGTAGAGAGCCAGTGGCGGTAGACGGCCAGGTCGACGGTCGGAATGGTTGCTGATGTAGACTGGCCCTTCGGTACAGTGGCCGCCTTGAGAGGCTGCGATGCTTCTCTCGCCTCCTTTGACGGAGATATTTCCATCTCATCGGCTGTCGTGTCTTTCTTGCTTTTTCTTGTGATAGCTTCTGTGATACTTGTGAGACCGAAGCGTCGAGGTCTCTCCTCATCTTCTGTAATGTCTATGAATGTGCCGTGATCGAGAATAGTACCCTCTTGTGTAAGCGCAATGATGTGATCGGCAACCGGCAACAACTGTGTCGAATGCGTACAAACAATGACAGTCGTTCCTCGCCTCCTCAGAAGTCCATTGGTCCCGAAGATGGCCTGGCAAACTTGGTGCTGCGTAGATGAATCTAGTCCACGAAACACGTCGTCGAGGACGATTATATCGGCTTCATGATAGAGCGCTCTCGCTAGAGATATACGCTGCCGCTGGCCACCACTCAGTGAGACACCCTTCGTGCCCACAACGGTCCTGTCTCCAGCTGGCATGGTCGCCAGGTCGTCCAACAGCATTGCTGCGCGTATGACGTCAGCGTAGCGGGCTGTGTTGAGTGGAGAGAACCCGATGATGTTCTCCATGATTGAGGAGTTGAAGAGGAACGGCGTCTGGTCGCAGTATGCCAATTTCTTCGATCCTAAGGTGACGGTACCCTTCGCGTGGGGCACCTCGCCAAGTAGAGCTCGACAGAATGTGGATTTACCAGAGGCCACAGGACCGACTACAAATGTGATGGACGACTGGGGAACGTAGATGCTGATGTCTTTGAGGACAGGCTTGTCGTCTGTCCAGCCGAAACTTCCACCTTGAATGCTAATGAAAGCCTCTTTGCTCTTGATTTCAATAGTCGACTTCCCAGCCTTCTCGTCGGTGTCGGTTGACTCGACGATGTGTCGCCCATCGACTCTTGTCTCCTGAGCCAGGAACAACTTGATCCTCCGTAGACATGCAAAAGAAGCAGCTATGATGGGCAAGCTTTGCAGTACGACCAGTAACGGTGAAGTCAGCAATGCCAAGAAAGATAGAGCTGTAAATGCTCGCGTTTGATCCAAGACCTTTGGGCCGAAAGCAAAAGCCAAAGCTGGCGCAATAGCTTGCGGAAGCTGGCTCGAACTGGCACTGATGGCGATAAGGATGCGCGAGCGCTCTCCCACACGAATCTCGTCTTCCCTCTCCCGCTGTACGAGAGCCGCAGCAGGACGGATCATTCCGGACACACGCAGATCCTTGATATTAGAGAGAACAGCTGAGGTAGCCGCGATACGTTTCTGTACGCGGGCCATCCACGCACTTTGGTAAGGTACAGCACGTTTTGATATCGCAAACGAGACGAAGAAGCAGACGAGAACTATGACCAAGGGAGCAAGGAAGGCGAGGCCAAGCTGCCGTTGTAGAAGCCAAGAAGCGAGGCCGATCTGGATGGCATTGGCCCAGACCTCGTGCATGAGGCGGAGGCCAGTGTAGATTCTCTCGACATCGGCACCCATCAGTGTGACGGCAGCTGAGTCGCCATCGCCCACATGCTGAATTTCGGCCGTTTTCCGGTAGATTGCAGATATCAGGTACGCGCGGAGGAGGGACTGAAAACGTTCTTGGTAGTACCAGTACAGGGCAGTTGAGATGGCGATGCCCGAGTAGGTCAAGACTGCGACTGCGACGAGTCCGGAGGCGGTTGATGAGTTGTCTTCATTAGATGACAAGAAGCCCAGCAGGCGTTGGAGGAAGAAAGGTTGGCAGAAGGTGAAACCAAGAAGACAAAGTCTTGGAAGAATAGGTAACAGAACTGACCAGCCCAGCGGCCTCGCGAGCCACAGAACGAGGTCTGAGATAGAGGTTCCTTTCGACTCCGGGCTTCTTCGAGTGTCTATCTTTGCGACAGAGATGGAAGTATCAAGTGGGAACAGGTCATCCATTACCAAGGGCTTGTGGTAACCCTTCCACAACAAGGGATTGAGCCATGAATAGAGGCCAAGACTCAAGATGCTGCTCGTCTCTTCCGGACTGTGCTCGTCCGAGTCCCACTTAACCCACCGCCTCCGCTTCAGGCTCTCTAGTGCCAAGAACAAGACCTCAACGACGATTGCAGTCGTGAACAGGACCTTGAAAGACAGTGACAGGTGTTGATTGTTTTGTTGGTCTGATGCAGACCAGAGGGAAGGACATCGGTAGATGTCATAGATGAGAGCGAGAAAGAGGAAAGAGCAAGCCAAGATGGAGGGCCGAGACCGTTTGAAATGCTCAAGAGGCGAGAGCGCAAGTAGTAGACAAGACGCGGTGAAATTGAGTGCTGTGGATGCTACGAGCTCCGCATTAGGACGGCCATTCTGCGGGCGAAGCACCACGACGAGAAGACCGAGTCTTAGCCCGGTGAATACGGCGCCGGCAACGAGCTTGGCGATCCACATGATTCCGGCGCCGCGCACAATGGACGGGTCCTGGGACCGGGACAGGCGGAGTATGCGGAGAGCCGCAACCGCTATGAAGGCGGCCGCAGTTGCGACCGAGAACCAGAAGATCCATCGGTACTCGACGACGGGGAATTCGTGCGCATCGCAGTCGGCGCGCAGGCCGAATGCCACATCTTCGATGCAATTATTGTCTTGGTCGTTCATGGTCAACATGAAATGGGCCAAGACCAGAGCAATCACACTGCAGCACCTTCAGCTGGAGGGACACCCAGCATTTTATCTCGCAATCAAAAACCCTCAAAACTTCCTCGTTGAAACGAAGGATTGCTGACCAACACCGGAGAGGAATAGCACATTGGGGGACACTGGTTGCCGATGTATTCTCTAACAATTTCACGCTCAGAACCGAGAGAAGAGACTACCTCATTGGTCGAAGCATCGGCCAGGGGGAGAGGTACAATGAAGCAGTCAAAAGCAAGGCATGGGCAACGCCAGCAGAGGCCTGCAGACAGTTAGTTGTTCGGAAATAAGGCCTGGGGGTGATTTTTGGTACGTGCAATTTTATTGCTGCACCGCCTCAAAGAATTTTCGTCTAGAGCCGAATTACCGCTCATGTCTACTACGGGGAGATAAGAGGTTGTGACTCACAGACGGATTGAGGCAACTGGGAGACAGCGGAAGGGTGTGATTGAACCGAACGTCAGAACGCATGAGCCAACGCAGGTTGGCAGAAAAAGTCAAATCATTCTCATAGCGAAAGTGGCCGTGTTTGTGGGGACGAAATGAGCTAGAGAGAAGAGAAAGCTAAGATAAATCACCTTCTCGGACGCGCCGCCATGGTGGTGGTTGACTAAGAGAGACATAAGCCGCATATTGTACGAAGCTTTCGCTATCTGTAGAGCCTGATTCGACAAATTTGTGATCTCGAGCGTTGTCTTGGCCGAGTTTAGGCAATCGAGTAAGATCTGGGGCGAAGCGAAGCTCTCGGGAGTCGAGATAGCGCACTTGAGAAGCAAAACGGCAGCTCCGTAGATTAAGCTCGCGCAGACGAGAAGCAAAAACAGAGCAATCGACCGAAGCGAGGGGTTTCAGCCTGAGTCGAGCCATAGGAAGACGGCAACCAAACATGGCATTTTATAACCCCATGATCAGTGATTGGCTTCTTCAAGAACTGTTCGACTTTACGATGCTCTCGGACACCCACCTGGCGTGAACCGGAATGTGGGGAGCGTTTGGAACCCTGTTCCTCCAATCAAAGCCGTCCCGTATTTCTCGTACAAAATACGAAATCTTCCGAGGTCCACGGGCGGGGGGCAGAAGTCCGGTCAAGTCAAAGAGACCCTGTGTTCCCGTACTCTTCAAAGCGCCCCAAGATGCATCAGCGAAGCCAATTGCCAGTGTCTGGCCCTCATCGGAAGATTCTAGACGACGTCACATGTTCGGTACAGGCGGGATGGAATATTCGGTCCCACTCAGCCAATTCTATTCGACGTCTGTAGCCTGATTGATACGTACGCTCGAGAACTCCGGTCGGCGTGAACGCGATCGCGAACGATGGACAAGGACGAGAGAGACGACCCAGACCAAGCTTCGGCTCAAGAATCTCTGGCATGTAAGGCGCAAAACCACAAGGCTGCGGCTGGCGCTGGCTGTTGCTGTGGTACATGTCGTAAGAACAAGAGAAGATCCCATAAGAAATCTCGAAATGGGTGCATGAACTGCAAGAGGAGAAAAGTCAAGGCAAGCATCCCACCCCTCGAGCTACCGCCAACCCTACGCTCAACCCACATCTGAAGACGGCCTAGACTGACTCTGTCTCCCTGGTGATTAGTGCGATGAAATCAAGCCCGAGTGCGGCAACTGCGTCCGGTTCTCGATGCATTGCGACTTTGCCCCTCCGTTGACGAACCCGCCCGCCCACTCCCCGACCGCATCATCACCCCCGACGCCGACGCCGAAGAAACGGGGCCGTCCGCGCAAGAACTGGGACGATATCCAGAAACTCCCGACGCCGACGGCCTCCGAGCCTGAATCCGCCCGAACGCCAATCACCCCAGCCGCCGTGCCCGCGACCGTCGAGCCCTCCTTTCCCCAAGTCCTGAACCCGGACGATCTCGAACTCCTACACCACTACATGTGCCACACGGCCATCACGCTGGGCGACGCGCGCGTCTGGAGAGAACACGTTCCGCGGCTGGGTTTTCAGCACCATTATGTCCTGCACATGGTCCTGGCCATCTCGGCGCAGCACCTCGCGAGGTTGCGCCCAAGCCACGCCGGCCACTACGAGGCGTTGGCGGAGCGCCATTCGACGAGCGCCCTGCCCGATGTGACCAACATCATCCCGAAGTTGAACAAGGACAACTGCCAGGCACTCTACCACACGACAGTCCTTGTCTGCCTGTCGACGTTCGCGAAGCGGCCGAGCCCGGGACATCTCCTGATTGTGGCGGAAGAGGGCGAGGTCCCCTGGTGGGCGTTACTCCGTGGCGTCAAGTTCGTCGTCAAGACGATGGGCATCCAGACGATAATAGCAGGGTGGAAAGACGATGGCGTGACGTTCGAACAGACGTGGACGCATTGCCCGCCGATGCCCACCCCTGTACACAAGATGGTGCACTGGGAGAAGCGTTTCGAAGAGCTCGCCGATCTCGTCGCCACCGCCCCAGAGCAGGACCGGCAGATGTACACGACGTTGCTAGGATCCCTGGAAGAGTGCTTCAAGATGACTTTCGGCACACTAGCCGAGCCTGTAGACCAGGTCCAGGGGAAGTTCGAGTGCATCATGCGCTGGCTGTACAGCATGGAGGATGATTTCGTTGTCCGTCTCCAGCAGAAGCACATCCTGCCCATCATATTGCTGGCCCATTTCAACGTCCTCGTGCAGACGTTGGAGCACTTTTGGTTCATGCAAGGTTGGTCGGAGCATCTTATGAGCGGTCTGTTTCAGGTTCTGGAACCTCAGTACAGCCACTGGCTCCAATGGCCCGCGGACCAGATCAAGCGCCCTGCTCCCTCGGATAGCGGTGTGTTGTCGGTACGCAACATCATCGACTGAGTGGTACGACGGTACAGCACGCTATGTTTTCATTCTTCGGTCCAACCCCTGTTGATGGCAGAAGCTGCAGTAACAAGTGGCTTGATATAAGCATGTCACTGGAATCAACTCGACCATCGGCTGGGCAGCTATGGCACTGTTAGAAGCACTATCCATGGATGCAATATCGGGATGCCGCTATCCAACCGATGGTCGCTGAGTTGTTTCAAATGGGCCATAGAGCTGTCTTATTGCATGGCCAGGTCTTCATGCACTGCAACTAGCGCGTCATGCATCGCACGAGATGATGATGTCGGCGCGCTGATAGAACAAGAGGAAAGGCGAAGCTTTCTCGAACCAGTCTTGGAAGGTAAGTTCGCATGCCAGTGCTACATGGGCCAAGTTCATCCGACAACTAACTTCTCGTACAAAGCTGGGATAGGCCAAGTTGCCATGCTGGTTCCCGTCGAAGACTCGGCATGCAGAATTTGAAGTCCAATGAGGGAACTCCAGCCAACGTGCCGGAACAAGCCGCATTCTAGACTTCGCACGGGTTGGGGGGCAGAGCGAATTACGGCGCAGACGAGGGTTAGGAGCTCACGTGCCGCTTGACGCATGCGGGTGGTCGCAGGCCTCCACACCACACATGCCGGAAGGAAGGGAAACGTTTATCCTATACCGACGGCCTGAGAAGGACGACTGATGGGTTACATTGCGGCCTAGCATCTCAAGGTTGAGAAGGAGTCGGGACTAGTCATGGGTGTGGCCTGGAGGCGGGGGATGCCGGATCTTCCGATGTTTCTCATCTAAGAATCTGGAAATTCCATAGATCACCCAACGAACCCTTCGTCCCTGTTGGGCAGCAAGAAGGGGAACAGACTCTCTGAGGCACATTGCCGATACTATCTCTCCTTCTCCAGAATGAATGCGACTGTAGCTTTGCACTGCCCAGTGTTGTGTAGACCGCCATTCGTGATGAAGCCTCGGTCGTGCCAGTCCCTTGTCCCCAAACGGAAAAAGACCCTGAAAAGATGAGCCTAGACTCCGCGCCGCCGTTGCATGTAGAGGGCGACGATCTATTGCAGGACCTTCCCCCATCCGAACCTAAAATCACGCGTTTGGAAAACTTCCATCGTCGTTCTTGGGATCTCTATGAAACAGCGTGTTTCCACGTGGGGGATGAACCAGACCCGATTTCCAGGCACCTGGTCCCTGGATTGTCCTTAGCGATATTAAGCTAATTCTCCGAGAGCACGCCCATAGTGTTTTCCACTTAACGACCCTGCAGCCGGTCCAACAGGCGATGCGTCAATAAGTAATCGTGGCATCAGTTTCATTTTTTCCCTCTTGCCCCCGCGAAGCACGATCCAGCCTCTTGGTAACGGCTTGGGAGGGGCCATGCGAGGTCCCGAGTAGCCGGCGTCGAGGCCTCGCTTCCCAGCCAAGCATTGTGCAACTTGCCGGAGCGAATCAATCCTCGTCCTTGTAAGACCAATCATTGATAGATGACTCTGGAATGGCTTTTTAGCATGTAGTTTGTCGACTTGGAATGTTGAAAATTGCCCATAAACTGCGCATAAGCGAACGTCTTTGTCCACTCCAGACTCGTGAACAGTAAGACACTGCGCCAAGCAATTGTCCAAAATCCCTTCCCACAGCCATGTCGTACAACCACACATTGAAGAAAATGCGTCAAATCGTGTTCTGCCTCCCCGGGCATCTCAGGATCCCATTGACCCCATTTTTGGCCCTTTTGTACGTTCTCAATTGCGACTAACGCGACTTGTTGGGAGTGGCGGACGGCTCCGCTGGCCCCGATCGCAATTGCGATCGAGGGATTGCTTCTTAGTCGTAAGCCGCCCCGTTGAGCAATCCACCGCGATCTCTCTCTCTTTCCCATCCCAATTCACCTCTCTGAATGCCTTGAACCGGTCTCGACTCTCATCTGCTCTCTTTGACCGACTTTTTTCGTGGTTGTGTTGCGTGTGTGTGTCCTGTGTCGTGTTCAGGGTTGATGGCCGCTCTCCATGTCTATCTGACTTGAACCGAATGGTGCTCAACAACACGCCAAAGAGGTGAGTTAGCCCCAATCGGGTGTAAGCCTGGCCGAAACCCTTGGCCAGCAGAATACTCGTCCGATTAAATGGATTGGACATAGGGCTAACTTTTTGTTGGTTTGGATCAAAATCTAGATCTACGAGATCGTCAGGTCTATTTACGCGGCAGCAACCGCCTTCATTTTCACTTGACTCCGTCATCCGCAAGGACTCCAAATTCGTGGGACCTAGCAACCGTTTTACCGAAGCCTGGGTTCGAGAGCAACAAGACGCCGTTCCCGCTACCATTGTCAAACTTGCTGAAGCAACTGAGTGGTCCGAGTCCAAGACCAGACAACACCACGCTCAACGCATCGATCAACTAAAGAATCTCACCAAGAACGTCGACTCCTTCGGCGATTTAGCTACTCCGCAACAGAACCGACATTTCTGGACCACTAACAACCATGGGCGAGAGCACCAAGCGAGCTCGGCAGCGAAGCCGTGAGTCCGCGGGTGGCCATGGCCACAGCAAGTCCAGCCAGACCCTCGAGGTCAAGAGGCCAAAGCTTGCTACCAACGTCCCCGTCGAGGTCATCCAGCAGCAAATGACCCCTGAGTCGCCCGTCGGCTGGTCTGGCATGAAGAGCTTCCTCATGACTGAGCTCAGGAGGGAGATGGGTCTGCCGTTCCACCGCCACGACAACTCCAACGTTGACGAGAAGAGCGTCAGCCTGGCTTGCCCTCTTTTCATCAGGAATCCGGCTGCTTTTACGCATGTTCGCAACTCGTGCACCGATGGAAACATCAAGGGCGGCATCGGAAAGCTCATGTAAGTGCCATATTGTCTCAATCGGGTAATGCGGAGACCCCGGCTAACCAACTGCAGCGAGCACATCAAGAGAGTGCATCTGAGAAGTGACAAGCAGTGCCACAACTGTGGCGCAAGATATGGCTCCAAGCCGGCTGAGTCAAAGTCGTCGCATGCACGCAATTGCACCAAGATCTGGTCGCCCTATGAGCCGCCCCTGCTCACCGAGGACCAACATCGCGTCCTGGAGAACCTGTCCGTCAGAGCCACCGGCCAATCACTGGACTACAAGTACCGACACAAGCTCCTTATGAAGCTGTTCCCCGGCCAGGAAGAGTGGGCCAAGAGAGTTGAGATTTGTGGGTGTTCCCCAAACTGTGGCTTGCGTTCACCCTTGCTAATGAGTTACACAGACCACGACTCTTACATGCCTTGTCTTCTTCCTGCGCAGCTCATGTTTGAGGCAATGGAAAAGGCCGTCGACCGATGGGAGAGAGGTTACGCTACGTCCACCGTCATGTATGACTCGGATGGAAGCGACGCCGATTCGGACAGGTCTCGGGAATACCGCCGAATTTCGGACTCAAGCGCCGGTGCATCTCCCGACACAGATGCATCAAGCGCATATCCCTCAGCCAGCTCGGGCGGCTACAGTCGCACACTAGGCAACGGCGCCGGCTACGGCGCCTCACAGTCATACCAACTCGCGGACTACCAGGACGCCAGCTGGGAAGGCATGGACGAGATGCCCCTGGCAACGCCCTCCGCACACCAAGTACAAACCACGAGCACATCGCGCAGCTCCAAATCGCGGCAGAAGACGGCTGAGACGGACTACGTGATGCAGATGCAGCAGGACTACCAGACATATTCACACTCCGGCACGGTGGATGACTTTGACGAGCTGGGCAGCGCGTCCTACGTGGACTTTGAGCCCGTCTTCGACGTTGTTTCGACCGTGCCTTCGGATTACCACTCTTACACGATGGACGTTGAGCAAGTTTTGCCGAGCGACTATCTGGGGCAGGGTCACTATCAGAAGGACACCATCAACCCCAAGGATATGCATAACACTTTGATCGGATTGGGATCGGCGACTGTGCCGCGGTATCTCATTGAGAATGAGGAGGACTCGGGTATTGTGCTGCAAGATACGCAGGAATATTTGGGTGGCCGGATCACACACAGGTGAACGGTAATGACCGAGGGGAATTAGCATTTATACTACGTTCGTGGCGGGATCACGCATGTAATGACGGTTTACGAAGATATGTGGCAGATGACAGCATTTGGCGAAGATTAGGACCAGGCAAATCTGAGTCGGTCAGATTATTTCATTGAATCATTCAAAGCATTTCTTAGGCTTGCATGACCGATCATCCCGTTTAAACCATGGTGAGTGACGATCATCAGTCCATGAATTAAATAACCCATGCAAAGACTGCCAAGACACCAATAATCCAGGTTGTCTTTGCATCGACACCAAAACGAATACCAGCAGAAGGCGACTCTGTTGGCGATGGCGAGCCTGTTGTACCGGTGGCAGAACCCCCTGAACCTGAGCCTGAACCTGAATCGCCACTGCTGACTCCAGTCTTGTCGATAATAGGGGCCTTGGCTGAATCGATAAGCAAGCCTGAAATAGCACTCAATGCGCTTGTCCCTTCACCGACTCCAGTCGTGTTGTCGGCAGTCATGGGATCGACGAACTCGGCCTCGCTCCAGTAGAAGCCACATGTGACGTTTCCGTTGGAGATATCCATGCAGTGCTTGGCGGCGGCCTCGGCGGAAGACTGCAGCATTGGGAGAACCGATTCCGAGAGGAAAGGGGCGACCTGAGTGGCGACAGCAAGCCAACGGTGGACATATCCCTTCATGAAGAGTGCATCGGTAGGGCAGGTGCCCTTCTCTAGTCTCTCGCACGCAGGTTCGTAGGCAATCTTCTTGGGGAAGAAGGTTTCCAGAGTTGATTTCACTAGTTTCGCCGTTCGATCTTTCCAAACCTCGGATCCGTCGGTCTAATAACAAGTCAGCGCCGAGAAAGCGTACATCTCTCGAACAACTTACGAAATTGTACATGAATGCTGCGCCTTCAATGAGAATCGCAGCGTGCTGAGACCACTGGGCCTTGTTGATATCGCTACAGTTGTAGGGTACGTGGGCTCCATCGTACACAGCTGACGTCTTGTTGTCAATGAAGCCCACGGCGCTCAGCCAGTCCCACGTCTTCCCGGCTTGTTTCGCGTACGTGCCGTTACCAGTGTATCTCGCAAGTCGGGCGCTCATGCTCAGAAAGCATCCGTTGGACATCGCTGTGGATTATCTCAGCATTGGGGTTCCTCCACACAGCTGAGTCAAATACTTACAGTTCTTGTAGTCATATCCGTTGTTAATAGGCGAAATCTGCCAGCGCAGTCCTCCGCCACAAGTTCCATCGTCTCGATCCGGACTTGCTTGGGTTTCCCACACATTCTTCGCCAAATCGAGCCATGACGGCTTGCCATCGGCGTTTGGCAGTTGGTATTCCGCGGCCTGCAGCGCGGCCGAGCCCCAGAAGCATTGGTCGTCATTACCGGCGGTTGCAGTCCAGTTCGGGGGCATGTAGTCGTTGTTCGGGCCAATCTGGAATGCCATGCCCTTGAGGATACTGGCCTGGAACGAATCATCTCCAGTGAAGTGCTGGTAGTCAAGGTAGGTCTGCCAGAAGGCGGCGCCTTGATACCAATAATAGTCCCCGGTCGTATACTGGGGAGGCCCAGGAAGAACGCCGGGAGTCTCGCCATACTTGTCCCCTTCGTAAAAGGTGAACAAGCTTTTGGCAAGCTTGCTGGAGGATTCGACGATCTCGTCGCGAGAGCTGATCTTGAGTTCCGCGGAGGAGCCCGGAAGAGAGCCCAAAACGAGCAAGACGCCCGGCAAGGCAGAAGGGAGAACCGCGATCATCTTGAAGTTGGCTCGCAGTTTTTTAACGATTAAATGATGTCGAAAATTGTTGTGGTCGATGGAAATTTGGCGCCGAGCGTGAGATTTTAGTTCGTCAGAGAGTGAACAGCGCGTGGCTTCCAGAAATGAGTGTGATGGAGTCGTACAAATAGATCCAAAGAATGCGATCCCACCAGAACGAGACACCTCACGAAGATGCGATTACGCCCGAATACTGGATGGAAGAGGAACAAGGACGGTGTCAAGAGGAGAAAACACCGCCGTTTCGTGGAAACGCGTTGGTGCTTACTGAAGTCAGACAAACGCGACCCCTGCTGTGCCGCACGAATTGGTCCCCTCCAAACGGCTGCCTGCTCGGCAAGGTAACACTAACCAATTAAGCTAGTATTTTAGGTCCTCAGATCGTATTGATCGGCGGTCTTGCGCCCCAGACAGAGGTCGGGTGTTCGGGTACGGATTCCTTCCAGGAAATTTCGGCTATGCTGCTAAATGCTGTGTTTGAAAGGGGTAAAATGCTACCTTCTCAACTCCTAGCGCTGCTAGAATGACTGCAATTTATAGCAGTAGACAATGCAAAAAGTCGCTGTTTGCTCCTGTCATAAAGACACCCAAACTTCATTGGAAAACATTCCCGTTGCGCCAAAAACAATGATCCATGTCAGTACTTCTATGATGCTTCCGCCTCCTGAACGCCGTTAACCACCGTTGTACCCGCACCTTCTCCTAAACTCTTGACTCCAGATTCTGTCTCCTTTTCTCCATTCACAGCCGTTGACTCTGATGTTGGATCGGGTTTCGACTCGTCCGCATTTGAAACTTGCGCTGCCTCCAGAGTCTCTGTCGTCTTCTCTGCGACCTCGGCTTCCTGGCTGGCAGCGAGTGCCTTCAGAGCCTTCTTCTTCAACGCTTTCTTCTTCCTGGCCTTCTTCGTGGACTCCGCCTTCTTACGGCGTTGTTCCTCGTCCATAACGGCCTTCTCTTCCATGACCCACTCCTCGATCCGTTCAACTGCTGTTTTCGGGTCGCTTCGGTACTTGAGCAGAAAGCCCTGGAGTTGTGCCGGCGTAAACATATTTTCCGGGATGTGACTGCTGAAGCTCGCGACTAGATCGTCAAAATGCTGCGTCTCCTGTTGCGAAGCCTCGGGGTCCTTCTCAAGCACGGCTGTCTTGTTCGTCAGATGGGGTCGGTACATTCGCTCAAACATGCCCTTGGCGCTCTCCTGTGAGATGTTGCCGAGATAAATCATGCGATCGATACGCCCGGGTCGAACGAGCGCCTTGTCGAGTTTGTGAGCCACGTTCGATGTCATGAGAACGATGCGGCCCTCCTGAGATGCAACTCCATCTAGCACATTAAGCAGGCCGGATAATGTGCACCGACAGCGGGCATACTCTTTCTCACTGCTCGCATCGCTGGCCGCATCATCTTCGTCCGAGTCAACGTCCACGTCAAGCTTCTTTCGCCGTTCAATTCCGACTGCGTCAATGTCTTCCAGCAGCACAATGCATTTTGGCGGTAATGCCGTAAAGAGGTTTTCTAGATCGCTGTCTCCGCGGATGCTTGGGATGTGAACGAGGTATAATTCGAGGTTGAAGCGACTTGCAAGAGCCAAAGACAGAGACGTCTTGCCGGTTCCTGGTGGTCCGTAGAAAAGATAGCCCCTTCGGTATGGGATGCCTCGTTCGGTATAAAACTTTCGAGTCAAAGGATCAAGATACGTCTCAATGTCCTCGACCAATTCCGACTTCGTCTTTTCGTCAAAGTGTACCGTCTCCAGCAACCTGATCGGCCGAAGAATCGTCGTATCCCAAGACTCCTGTCCGTACTGATTCTTCGTAGCCCGAACAGTAATGAACGACTCGCGCTGCTTGTCCGCAAAGTCTCTGCAGTTGTCGAGGAATTTCTTGATAGGCTCTATCGACCGGCCGAGTCGCATGACCACAAGTGGCTCCTCTCCCTGCGGAGCTGCGGAGTACTCGTCCGGGATCCCGAACGTAGCGCCGGGGCTCCGCTGCGGCACCCGGCGGACCATGAAGAAGCCTCCTTCGAACATGAACCACGTCGTGCCGAAGGTGGGCAGATACTGAACCGGAACTCTCTTCTCGTGGTGCAGATCGTCGCGCTCAACGGGCTTTCGGTCGTACCACGCATCATTCTGTATGACCTCCGTGCGGGCCGTCAGGATCCGGGTGCCTTGGCGAGTGAGCACGTGGGCGCCGAGCCAGTTCAGCACCTCCCGGTTGAGCTTGTCGTTGCTTGCGATTGATATTGACGCCGTGAAGAACCGTGTAACCCACCAGTAGACCTGCGTCCACAATTTTTGCAGACCCGTCAAGGCGTTCGGGATCTCGGCTCCGAATGTGACCAGCAGGAAGATCGTCGTCAACTCAACCCTGAGCCATCTTGAAAAGAACTTTTGTAAAGCGCCAAAGCCAGGCGCACTTCGCTCCAGGAAGTCGCTAATGCCTTGGTCGCCTGCGCCAGTCAGCAAGGAAGCCTTCGTAAGAAAGTTGCTCATCGTCGGTTCGTGCGCATGAGAAGGAAAGGACAGCCGCTCGCCGAATGCATGTGGACAAAATGAAGTCGTTAAATATCGTGTGATCCAAGAAGAAAATTCGGGGGCTTGCTGTCAGTCTTATGAAAGTTTTCAAGACACGCATGAGGCCGCCCGCTGGCCGCAGCTGCAGGCAGAAAGAAGGCTGCGGCGTTGCGTGGTGCTGCCTAAGCCCTATCACGCGGGCCTTTGCTCCAGGCGGTAGCGTTTAAGCCTCAAATGGATCTTAGAACCGGGACGCTAACCCGCATAAGTTGCAGCTACATGACGCTTGCTGCATGTGATTGGAATGTGGCGGCTATCCATTTGCTGCTTCTGGACAGAAAGCTGACGTTGGTTCTGGGCCAATCGTGGGGTAAGAAAGCGCCCTGCTGTACGACTGAGACATTCGCGACCGCCTTGTTTTTAGGAATGCGGGATTCTCCATTTCAACGACTTTGTTCGTGTTACATTGCTTTTCAATCTGGTTCACCTGAAACAACCGATGTGCGCGAACATGCTATGTGATTTCGATTTGAGATGTGTATCATGTGGATTGGCGTCGAATGAGTTAAGCGCTTGCTGACAATCGAATCACCTGTATTGGGTCTTTCCACAATCATGACTGCGAAATTGGGGACTTCGGTCAAGAATCAGATAGTACGATAACCAGCTAAGCACTTCTTACAATGACGTAATTCGAGAGCCGTTCCACGTTCAGTCTGAAATTTAGCGGTGGTAAAGTAGGTTGCAAAGGCAACCAAGGCAACTTGTAGAAATATCTTTGATATGTGGGACTTGTTCCAATTGCTGCCTTTACACATCGCGGAGCCGTAGAAGTCTCACGTTCATTCCAGGATCTGGCTGCCTTGCGGGTTTGCATTTTGTTTTCTATTCAGCGAGATGATTCTCGGAGCAGACAGTATCATCTTTAGAAAGGTTATTGCTCATGGATCATCTTTCTGTTCCAGATCATGAAGACTCTGGGCAACTTCAGGACCGGACTCTCTACTTTTCAATATTCTATCGACGAGACGCGCATCGTAAGTTGTCTTTTGTCAGGGTGTTGTATAATGCTCATCAGGTAAGCAAAGTTCTTCTTTCTTTTTGGGCCACCGAGCCGCGAGTTCTCAGGTGCTGTCGAAAGATCTTTTGATCCTAAATTCCTGACTCATAGGGCTGGCTGTGCATGGAGAAACTTGCCACGACCTTGATTTTTGGACTCTTCGATTTCAAAATCTTAGGCCGAAGTTCCGTACTTTCCAATGAGTTATTCGGTGTATAGTCGTTATAGTCGTCACTAGCAAAAGTACTCTGCAGCATAGTTTGAAAAACTCATTCCTGTTTGGGAACACATTGCAGCTCGCTCAGCCCTACGTCGGCTCCCTCTTGCCAAACGCGGAGTCAGTGCATAAGGGTCTTCCTTTGGCCCCCACAGCATTTCAGCACCGTTCATGGCTGGTGCCTATTGTTAGCGCGTGGCTATGCTTGAGAGATGCAGATGTAACGAACCACCTCGTCAACTTGTGAAGTCTCCGCAACCGACTGACTTCGAAAGTCGGCATGATATCTACCAACGGGAACTTCGCAGACGGTGCGGAAGCTTAAGTTCGACGCTATCCACAGTGGGTTACGGCGTCTTCGCAAAGACCCTGGTCGGCGTTCGGTTTCATTTGTAGATAGGATCGACATCAAATGCCGACCCTTCACCCTTGAACTTCTACCTGGTATCCGAAGATTCCCAAACCAAGACGACATCGGAAATCTGGCGATCCAATGCGTCTGCCGTGGTCTGGATTCAGAGCGGTGAGTATCGCGTTGCTGTGTCGTTGCAGTGCCCACCTGTCAGACTAGGGCCGAATGGGCCACCTTATCCGGGAGCTTGCGGCTTACGGCATGCTTACCGCTAGACTTCGTGGAGATTGATGCTTCGAACATGCGATACGGGGACCTTTGAATGATTTGAGGACCGCATGGCCGAAGACTTGTCTTGAACATTCGGCGTTATACGGATTCCGAGGCGCTGCCAAAAAGCCACCAATCCAGGGCGTCATCATTATTAACGGTGAAGCGATGATAAGAAACCCAAGAGGTGATGAATAATGTCGCGGCAATTATATAATTGCTTTCAAAGACGCCAGGAAGATCGTAAATCATCGACAACTCGTCATCCGCCTTATCAATCAAGTTGCCGAAGGATTCCTGTGCAGGAACTAATCGCCTCGATTTCTTCATTCCTGGCAGGCCGGCGGTGCTGCTTCGCTTCGGGTGGAGAATGGCCTCATCGTCGTCGTCGCCATCGCTGTGAATTCGCTCAGGACCCTCCAGAGTCGGGCTTCGTCGACAGCTTTCATGGAAAGTCGAAACAAGACCTTGGCGATAACTAAATATGAGGATGAAATAGCCATGGTCCCTCTTCCGATATCGTCTCATGTTCCAGTTTAAACTCCCCTCTTTGATCGACATGCAACCCCTCCCCATGAACCCTGCATCCGAAGAAGATGCATCTGACACGTGGACTTAGCCGCAAACAACACAAGCGACAGCCTCGCAAGAGCCCAAAGAGGGCGAAAGTGCCACTTCGATGCAACTCTGGCTGAGAAATATCGGCAAGGGCAAGTAAGCGGTGCCGACCGTTTCTGCTTGAGATTGATGAGCATCCGAACCAGCGTCGCAGCAGACACCGATGGCCCTCCAGACCCCTGAATTGTTCTGAAGTTTGCGCACGGTTCCCTCGATATGGACCCCTATCGTCCCTATTCGGCCCATTACTGGACGATGTCACCCCGTTGGGGAGGTGCTGCGCTGAAGAATCTCCGCAATGGATGCGTCCTCATGAGTCGCCGGACCCGCAAACAACGGTCAAACTGGCGAGAAACCGCTGCAATTGCCGTATGTTGGTGGGTAGCTCAAGGGTTTTCCGACTTCCGACTTGAGCCTTCCGCGGGCGTTCTAGCAGGGATCGCTCAACGGGGGGCCACAGGGTTACGAATACAGAGAGAGAGGGGTTGAGGGGAGGGGAACAAAACGGAACAAGTCAACAAATTGCGATGAACCTGGTGCTGCAGCTGTCACATTTGGCCAGTGGTATTTAAAGATCTTGACCGCTTCGCCGCTTTCTTTGGTTCATATTGACAAGCCTTTCTGAAATTCTCCTACCGAACCTGCAGACTCCTTTCGCTAATCTTTCTTCACCACATCACACCCATCACCACCTACAACACATACATCATGTCTGCTGCCAAGCCTACCTTCGTTCTCGCGCCTGGTGCGTGGCACAAGGAGATCTGCTACTCTCCCGTCGAGCAGATCCTCAACTCCAAGGGCTACGAGACCGTCGCCGTCGAGTACCCCTCCGTCGGCGCTGAGCCCCCCACCAAGGGCCTGAACGACGACGCTGCCGCCGTCAGATCCGTTCTCCAGAGACTCGCCGACGAGGAGAAGGAGATCGTCCTGGTCGTCCACTCCTACGGTGGTCTCGTCGGTGCCAACGCCGTCGAGGGTCTTGGCTACAAGCAGCGCGCCAAGGAGGGTAAGAAGGGCGGTGTTATCACCTTCGTCTACCTCAGCGCCTTCGTCGTCCCGGTCGGCAAGTCTATCAAGGTTATGCTCGGCGGCCAGTTCCTCCCCTGGATGAAGTTCGATGTAAGTTCAGATCAAAATGAGACGAACCAAGATTTCATGACTAATGCTCTTGCAGGGCAACTACGTCCACGCCCTCACTCCCGAGGAGATCTTCTACCACGACGTCGAGCCCGAGCTCCAGGCCAAGGCCATCTCCCAGCTGAAGCACCAGTCGGCGCCCGTCTTCGACGACGTCGTCACCTACGAGCCCTGGCACGAGATTGACTCCATGTTCTTCTTCTGCACGGAGGACAAGGCCATTCCCCTGGCCATCCAGGAGGGCATGGCCCAGCAGCTCGGTCCCAACGGCTTCACCTACTCCGTCAAGGCCTCCCACTCTCCCTTCCTCTCTGTCCCCAACGAGGTTGTTGAGGGTCTGGAGCACGCCGCCAAGGTCGGCCAGGAGAGAGTCAGAGCATAGATGTGGAGGTTTAAGCAAAAGCGTTTCAATAGTTTAAAATGAATGAAGTCACGATTGATGACCAAACCTGCTGTCTTTGGAATTGGTGACCTGGGTAAGGCGGGTAGGTGTGAGACCGACTTCTGATGGTGACACATGCAAGTGGGGTTTCGTGGCATATTTTGCAATCTCCACCAGTCCAAAAACGAATCGGGTCGTTCAATCTAGCTCATGTGATATGAATACTAATCACTGAAGCTTCTCCTCAAAGGCACTACTTTAGTGTCGCTTCGGGCCGTTACGAAAATGTCTCCACCACCTCTTCACGTCTTCACGTGAGCTTCGTCTTGGTATGCGATCCCACGTTGCTAATGTCCGAGCGTGCCGATGCAGGTCATCGTAATGGGACGCTGCCGCGTGGGATATATCGGGATCGTGGAGACTGGCCGGGAGCCTGAGTCACAAATCTCATCCCCTGCAACTCGGCAGCGCCCCTGGCAGGCTGGCTAGTCGCCATGTGTGAGCGTAGGATGCCCTACTTTGGGTTCTGCCGTTGTTACGCGTCATGTTTGATGTGCTTCGATGAGCATGTTCTAGAAGATGTCGGTTAGACGAGCAGCGGCGGTGAGTGTCCTTCTTCCAAGGAGAAGGGAGTGTGATGTCCTGGGGCTGTCTCATGAAGCGAGCTGCAGTACCCTAGTCCAATTTCCACAGCGTGCTTGTTCTCGTAAACTTGAATTTAGAATCAAGAAAGATACTTACGTTGCTGGTTATGACAGACTCGTACATGGAAAGATAATGCTATCTGCGCATCGTTCGAATGGGATCACCAATTCATTCATCGTGAAATCTTTTCACAAACATCATATTCCTACATGCACCAACGCTCACAATACAGATTTCGGCGCGTCCCAATATTTGGGCACCGCGAAAGTGACATCCGAGTTCTCCATCTTGATGCCAACCTGCCACCTTCCAAGACCAGGCCAGAAATTCTCATGCTCACACACAATGTTGCCTTTCTCATCGGCCTGTCTAATGTCAAACCAGCCAAGGCTTGCTTTCTTCGAATACTGCCCCGGCGCAACGCTACACCATCGATCTGTGCCGGGCAGTTCACCTTGGCTACCACTGCCCTCGGGCAGCGGAGGTTGAACAAGCGTGGCGTCCAGACCGACGTACGAAAGAAGATTCAGGGACAGTGGGAATGAGGGCACGTAAGGAACGGGCTTGAATGTCGCTTGAAAGAGTGGCGTAGTGCTGGCTGACGCCTCTTTGAGATCGCCGGTGGTGTCGTGCGGGAAAACCTTGACGTGGGTGCTGCCGTCTACATCGTACTTCCAGTCGAAGGCGGCCAGGTGCTTTGGGATGTTCCAGTCTGAGGTTGCATGTCAGCAACTACTCACATGAGATCTCTACTGAGATGAGAGATGAGGCCGCGACTCACTTTTGCGACCATTCCAGCAGGTATGCTTTTGCGACACATATATCCTCGTGATTCTGGCGTTCTTCTTCTTCACTCGCTTTCCATTCTCTTCGACAGTGTACTCATGAAAGCCGGGACTAAGGATCAGCTCGTCATAGGGACCCACTGGGCTCTCGGTGTACCGTATGATCTGAACCATGCTGATGCCGCCCAGCGGTCGACTTCCTTCCGGATTGATGTATGATGAGTTTGCCTCGAGAGGAGAGTATGTGACGGTTGGCGGGTGTTCTGCCTGTTTCCTGGGCGTCCAGAAGCTGAAGAGGTAGATGTCGCCTTTGAGCTTCCACGGGGGAGGGACGTGAGTGAAGTCGTCCGACGTCATGGTGTGAATCGAACGATGTGTGAAGAATTGGGCGCGTCTCCCAGTCGAGGGAAAAACAGAAATCAAAATTAGTTGGTGCAATAAATAACCTTTGGAAGGACAACGCTCGCGGTCTTTGAAAACAAGAAGCTTCGTCGAATGTCAAGCCGATGATTGCACGAATCTGGGGTATGCTGGAGGATCAACAACATCGGGGATGCGAAGCGGGGAAGGGATGAGCTGTCAGCACCTTATATTTCCTCCTCGGGCGTAGCGCGGGCCTGTGCAGCGCCGGCGTGACACTGCTGTTTGCGGGGATTGGCGCCGGGCCGCTTCACCGGGCCTCGGTTTCAGGGGTCCTCCTACGAAGTAATTGCCACATTGGGAACTGTCACCTTCCAGCAATCCGCACAAGCTTTTCATCGTAATGCACTCAATTACCCGCTCATACTAGTTCTATCACACTCGGTTCGGGCAAGATACTCCAAAACTTCTTGATCCCCTCTCCCGACAGCGAGGGCCTGCTGCTGTAGTTGCCAACAAAACGCTCCTGTTCGATCCAAACGTGACCCATGCGCTCGTACACATCTGCACCTCGTTTCCTCCGCTTTTGCAGGTGGAGTGCCATACAGACCGCGGTTGTTTTGCCACAAAGCACAGCAACAAAACCCGTTCGCCTTCGAGTTCTAGGCATGATGAAGTCTGGAGTGTATCCCCTGGCGACTATGCCTTTTGCTTCTGTGAGCACCACCTGAGGCTTGCCCTCTGCGTCTGATGCATACGCCACCTTGCACTTGAGAATGGGGGCCTTAATCGTGATCGAAGACATTGAAAATTCCGATGCCTTGCCCAAATTATCAGGCCCATCATAGACAACATTGATACCCTCGATGGTGGATAACGGCACATAAGCCTTGTTGACACCGTTGTCCCAACTGACTTGATTGTGCACCGAAGCCCACGACCAACTTGGATATCGTGATTTCCATCGAGACTCCAGGTAAGCATTGAAAGCTGTCTCCCAACACAGGTCCAGAATCAATGAATTTTCCCGTAGTCCAATGAGGTATTTACCCCTTTGATGATGATGTTGTATGCTCTTGACGATTCCAGCAAGGGCGGCCATTCGATCTTCATCAGTCTTCGTGAGTCGGAGATTGGAATACTCAGATACCAAACGATACCAAAGTAAATCTGGTCTTTTGGAAGGAATGTGATATGGCATATCATTATAGTGGACATGCTCCGGCGTGGAGCGGGAACGAGGATGTTCGTTGCTTTCCGATTCTTTTTGTCTCAGAGTCCCCGATCTGCAATCCCAAATCACCTCTTGGGCGCAGAAATGAAGTACTCGATGCGATAGCCGCATTTCCTGGTAGACCCAGCCCCAGTTGAGCAAAGGCAGCTCTTTCTGTCTGCCAAAATCATACCAGTGAGTGGGCAATCCGGGGAGTTTGAACCGTGAAAAGGCATTCTGGTACCCAGGAATAGGTCTCGCGATGTATTGTTTTGGAGTCTCCGAGTAGCAGCCTCCCGACGAAGCCGTGGACTTTGTGGCTGCGATGGTGATGTACGCGTTCTCATATATATCAGCCATTCTTGCTGCCTCGCTCACCCAGTCTTCCTGACTATCACTGTTTTGAATGATGCAAAGTGAGTCGATCCAAATATATTTGATACCCAGAAAGCGGCATGTTTCGACTGCATTCTGGAAGGTTGTTGTCAATGCGTTCAGCGGCACACTGTTCTTGTGATCCTCAATGTTTTCTTTGAGTGTTCTGCCAATCTCTGCAGGGTTGCCCCAACAATGGCTAAGACAGGCATAGCGCATCTTCGTGACGTTCTCTCGGAGGACTACTGTATTCTGATCCTCAAGAATCTCGAGGATACTGGTTGGCCCGCTGAAGTCTTTGCCAGACTCGAGTGGAGTCTGGCACTCCGTGTGCGAATCGGTGCAATTTGAACGCCAATTGGTTATGGCTTTTCGGGTTGTGCTTGAATTCGTTGTTTTTGGAAGGTTTTGGCCGACCCTTTTGATCTTAAATGGAGGCTGTATGCCTTCTATAGCTCGTCAGAATTGTATTCCTTTTGATTCCGCTGAACTTTGCTTTGTAGTGTGTGCTGTGTTGTACTAACGTGCAGTCCGATGGGCTGAAACGAGTTCTATAGTGATGCATGCACTCACCGATTTCACTATCCATGTTGAAGAGATCCAGAACGATGGTACCATCATCCGTGTAAATGTTACACGTGATGCCAAATTCGAAAGCCAAAACTTCGGTAGACTCGGTGATATTTAGACAATCAGCCCACACCCCAATCCAAGCTGAGACGAATTCGCATCGTGGACATCGATTCTGAGCGCTTTGTCGTAGTTCCTTGTATGTGCACTTCACAGTGATATTTCCTGTACTACGACTTTTCTCACAAGAGGTGCAATTCATGTTTAGATCGCTGTAGGTGTGGGCTCGGAATCCGTTGCTGAAATACACAGACCAAGTCTGGTTTGACAAATCGCGGAATCGACATAGCATCCCCGCACGCGGCGCAGCTTCTTTATATACGCGCCCCAACGACCCAGTTAATCCTGACGATCACATGACTCCTTGCTCCCTAACAGTGCATTTTGGCACCAATGAGAGCTATGAAGACATGAACATAGATGTGATTGGTCTTTGATGTTGTCATGCCTCGTTAGACGTTTTGCGTCTTGGTGGGTGGTTTATGTAGAAATGCGTAAGATGTCAACCGGATTCTTTATTTTCGCTCGTAGGTAAGTACCTATGCATCCGAAGACATTCGTCGGCCTAAGGGCTTCGACTCCCCATAGAGCCATCACGTCTTTTCTTTGCTGCCCTTCCAGCCGTCTCAGCGTCGATCGTAGGTGTTTCCATGAGGCTGATTCATTGATAGGATCCGGACCCGGGATCGGGTACAGGCGATGAATAGGACGACGTAGTACTCGCCTCGTCTTCATGACTCCGGATGTTTCCTCGAGCGCGTCCTGGTCTCCGGAAACCCTTCCTCCAGCTCCGATATTCATTTGAGCGCACCCTCACGCAGCCAGGTTGTGTTCGAGGACCATTGTCGAGAATATCCCACGCGTACGTGAGGGTAGCGTCGTCGTAAACACCGTACCGCAGCATATCGCGTGCTAGCTCGATGGAGTAGTATAGGCCGGGGAAAGTGACACCGGCGCCCGCATTGGCTGCCGCCTGTTTCCATGCAGATGGGATGGAGTGAGGCGCGATACCAACATACTGATCCTCATTGTACCCCTTGTAGACGCCATAACGGTAGACGCGGTCAGCCAACGTGACCTGTGCGCGTAGATGATCCTCCATATCAGAGGGGTCCTGCAGCCAGAACTCGGGACATTGTAGCACAGGGCTCTGTTGTACGAGTAATGCAAGGTCCATGAGGGTGTTGAGACAGCGGCAGGTGCGCACGGCGCCACGCGGCCGGAGTATCCAGAGACTGACGATGTAAACAATCATAATGGCGAAGGCTGCGAAGAAGTTGCGTTTTTGAATAGTAACCACAAAGTAGACGCCGCCGCCCGGACTGGGCATCTCCACGAAGGCAAAGATTCGGCCAACAACAACGTAGACTGAGTTAGAAAATGTCGCTAGAAGCAAGCCCAAGATAACCGTGTATTCACTGCGGCCCTGGGCAGCAGCAATGCAGCTAATAATGTCGAGGGAAATGTAGTCGAGCAGCATACTATCCTTGCCCATTCCGCCCTTGATGTCTGCTTTTCCCAGGTGGAATCGAGCACGGTCGTCTTTCTTAAGTGGACTGGCCATATGGACAATTGGCGCCATCGTACGCTGATAGATGTCGGCAGCGATGAAGGAATTGTTGAAGATACCGAAGAGCAAGTTTGGGAGAAGGCTGAAAACTATTCCGCGGATGAAGATCCAATGCCTTATGCCCTCCGGATTCACACCTTTAGATTGAAAAACCGAAAAAGTATGGTGTATGGATCCCTTTGCCCACGCAGCTGTAGCAGCGATGAGGGCAGAGGCACCCAAAGTTGTTACAATGATGAAATATGCGTCTGAGAGCACAGGATTTCAAATTCTGTTGATGTCTGGCCGTGAGACACGATTGGAAGTTGACCACTGCTGAGGGGCCTGATCATCGTTGGCCTGAGTGGTGCGGTAGTTACCATATCGAGCTGATGTGTCGCAGTTGGCGCCGCGTTCTAGGTCCAGTAGCGGAGTGAAGTTTTCGTCATCTTGAAGGAATCTAAATCCGTGAATGATAATGCCGCTGTTCAGTTCTTTCCAATATCCTAGGTGTAGTCGCAGTTCTTGATCCGGCCAGGACCTGACGGCGTCGTTCAGCGGCGCCCGCGTCTCTGTGGAAATATCTGCAAATCTTTTGAGGATATTGGATCCTTGGATCAATGATGCCTGAGCGGCAAGAGTGCAGGGATTCCATTTCAGTCCCGTCTGGTTCCTGCTGAAAAAGAACATGATGCTGAGCGTGATCAGGAACAGCCAAAAATAGATGATCATAGCAGTGACACCAAAGCCGACGGAGATGCGTACCCCCCAACCAGCGTCGTCTTTGGCGAGCTGTATGATTCCAGTCTTGACAGGGGTCAGGAGAAAAACGAGTAGGGGCTGATGTTGACAGCACAACTAAGGTAGTCGCCCTTTTGGTACAATGTAATGACAATTCCAAGGTGCACCTCACCGCCGGGTATCGAGTTCAGTGTTTCATTCGAGAAGACCCTATGGTCTTGGTCCCTCTCAGGTACCAAGGGCTTGGCCATGTGACTGTAAGGTATAATACGGTTGTATGATTGAAGAGTTCCCCTCCAGAGTACCGTAGTGAGAAAGCCGATGATGCCTGGGGCGTAGAGCCACATCGCATAGCTGTACTGTAATCTCAGATGAAGCAACGCGGGTTGCGTTCGGCCGAGGAACACGAGAACTCCCGAACCCGAAAGACACGCGATGAACCAGATCTGTATGCAAATCAGATACCAGAGTTTGATTCCAAGCGGCTTGAAATTCAACTCAGGAAGCGCGGCTGCCTCCTTGGCACTCAGCGGCAAGAAAGTGTCGGACCCGTCTATATTGCTTGAGCATCAGCGAAACCTTGATCTGACCCCTTTAGAGCGTTCAGGCGTTATTTTCCTACAATTATGCCGTCCGATGTTCGATGATTCGATAAGAGGCGGCCGCGGGCCCTCGTCTTCCCAGGGAACATCCGTCGGATTACCATGATTGTCCGGCGGGGACTGAATGTCGTGGAGGTGCATAGAATCCATACGTTGATCACCAGTTGAATTCAGCTTTGGGAGAAAACATAGCAGTAGAGGGAAGCGGGCAGGAGTTCGCGGCCAGCCTGATCCTACCTTTAAATCCGGGAGGGGACCGTCAGGCTGGCAGGCTTCAACAGCCTGAGCAAACCCTTGAAAGCTGAAAACTGCAATAATCCCTGTTAATGAGTGCCGAGGACTCGTTAAGATCAGGCTGACGAATTGTATGTCTTGAAATCAACTTGGTGTCTTCTGTATCTAGGTGGCACAAGGCAGCCTGCAGATGGCTATGATTAGGTGGTGCGGCCGAGTTTGGTCATCATTGCATGGTATCCCGTACGCTCGGCACTTTGTCCCAAAGCGGCTGGTGTTAACCTCCTTTTGCAAAGCGACACCGATCTCCCGCATATCTTAATAGGATACTCTCACGCAAGGACTGACAGGATATTAATAGCAGTGATACAAGGCTCTGCTGCGCGACGGCGTCACTGTCCTCAACATGACCAACATATAATCCTACGTACCTTGTCTAGGTCTAGTAATACAGGAAACATGCTGTTTACTCGCAAAATCGTTGATTAATACTCAATTGATATCGTCAGTCACAATTCCGCAAGTGTTGTACTGCAGGCCACTGGCACGAAATGAGGTGGACAGATTCAGTGTATCTCGCGGTTACACATAATTGTCCAGAAATTTAGGCCGCGAGCCTGCCCTTTATGACCCTACTCAAGATCAATTACCTGGGGCATCAAGGTTGTTAGTCACGAGAGTAAAGTACAGAGCTTTTTGGCTCAAGGTTTCATCGCTTGGTAGACGTTTTCGTGTTATTGCCTATTGTCCAAACAAAGCCACTCACGGCAAGCCCTCCCCCATTCGCTCTATTTCTCTTCATCTCAGGATCCTGGTCCATCCTTCACTTCCAGACGTTACCAATATGACGTGCGTTTACTAACGGGATTGTTATCCCATTCTCTGAGGGCGGAAAGAGCATCTGAAAGCTGATCTAAGTGCATTTTAGATGGGTTTCATCGGAGGCGGAGAAGAAGCGCACACTCTGTGACAACCCACTAGCTCCAATGTCAAAGACTTCAGGTAGTTTCCTTCTCAGCTTTCGATGAACAGAGAGCAGCCTGGCACTTTTCAAATGCCAAGTTGCATACAACAGTGGGCCCCAACATCGGTCCCATAGCGTTCTGGCAGGTTGCCAAGGCTCCTAAGCATCCAGCTTTGCAGATACTGAAATTATCGAGAGTATTTGGTACGTTCAAGAGTGTTGCGAGAACAGGGAGGAATTTCATATTACTTGAGTATCTGTGCTTTGATATGCAGACCGAAACGTGAGTTATTTGACTGCGTAGAATCTGACTACGTCGGCTTGAGTGAAGGAAGTGGTAGCTTCTATCGTTGGAAAAAGTCGTGGGCGTGGGCACTGGGCATCGAACAGACCGCATTAAATACCCCGTCGTACACTGTCAAACTTATTCAAGCGATCTTTGACGCAAACTATTAGCTGCCGTATTAATTGCGATCCCCGGGACATTTCTGTTGGAATCTTGGGTGGTTGGCCTCCAGCAGCTGTAGTCTTTCTCCGTGATAATCATCAATCCTGTGAACTCTGATGGGTACGTCAATCATTGATTTTCTAACAAAGTGATTTCAACTACGATTTACATTTCATTGGGGATTATTTCCGCCCAACATGTTACTTGTAGCATGTGACAATATTCGCCACACAATTACGCCAGCTTCACTAGTATGACGAAAGACGTAGAAGCATGGAGTTCTTCCTTTTCGGCGTGATGCTTCGCGTGAGGGGTCGGCATAGGCCCCAGTTGAACGGGGTATGAAATGAACTTTGCTGAGGTTGGCCTCCTGCATATCTTTTCGCTTTTTAATTTGAGAACTTAGAACCTTTCATGTGAGGATTTCTTCTATACGAGAGACCATAGTGAGGGCTGTGCCACAAATAAACACAGTACGTAGGAAAGTCTCCAAAGCAGAATCCATTGTTAAAATGTTTCCAGTTCCTCAGGTCAGAAACTTCCTAATTGTAAGTTTGAATATGCTCCTCCGATATCCGTTGCCAAATCTTGTATCACACCTTTCAATTCCTGGTCATCATGTAGCCACTCGTCCAGCACGAATCAAATTACAACAAGCTCCCAAGGGCAAGTCGTTGATTAACATCGGGGAGCAAATCTCGCCTGCGAGCAGGAAGCTTGACATTTTCCAAATGCTACATCGCATTCCTTCACAGCAGGTGTAGCAGCTACACCGGATGTGACTCCAAAGATGCCACCGGCTACAGTGTAGCATGTGACCACAAGAGCCGCGCATCCAGTCTGACAGGTGCCATATGCACATTTCTCGGCCAAAACAACAGCGGGCGCCAATATTGAACAAGTGGAAAGTATTGCTGTCAAGGGCTTCATGTCGATGTCTCGGTCTAGATTGCCGAAAAGATTTGCTTGTGAGTCGATGTCGTGGTTCTCAGTTTTGCCAGCAATAGTCAAAAGGGTTCTGATGGACGGCAAGAAAGGATTGAAGCTAGAAGTTCGCGATTTCGGGAAGTATGACTCCTTAAATAGTTTGACTAGCGGCCCAAGTCTAACTGCAGGCTTGTTCCACTCTCACTTGTTTCCTCTGACCTACATCCCTCCCTTAAACTTTTGCAACTGACAAAACCCACCATCTGAAGCCCTTAGCTTGACTTTCATTTTCAACAAAGCACCAACGAATATGTGCTGCTAAGCATCCCGGTCATACTGATCTTCTTGCTGACTGAATATGTGGTCAGCGATGTTAGCGAGTTCGTAATTGTCTGTTAATGCTGAACGGCAGCTGATATTTGAAAGCGACCTACCTCCAATGTACAGAAATCTAAGGGGTTGGAGCCAAAGCCACCACAGCACAAGCAGCCTGACACTTTCCGAATGCTACGTTGCAGGCAATAACAGCGGGAGCAGCTCCGACACCTGCGGTTGCCCCCCAAACTGCCCCAGCAGCGGCGTAGCAGGCCGTCACAACGCCTGCGCATCCAGCTTGGCATATGCCGTAGCCTAAGAGGCCAGCTTCGACGGCAGGTGGCGCTGACAAGAAGACGTAAAGTACAAGAATGGTTGAGAGATCCATGTTATTGAAGTGTAAACTGTTCACATGGCAAAGCTGAACGTGTTATAATCTGCGCGGATTACGTTCAAGGTAGTGGTTTAGGGAGAAGAGTAATGTTGGTGACCTATCTGCGAGTGCATGGGTCGATTTGACCGCATTAAATATCCTGGTCTACGTGAATTGACTCGAGTCAATTTCAATAGAAGGTTGTCAGACGTCACTTTGCTTGGGATGGCTGGATCATGTCTGCTGGAATGTTCGGTGGTCGGCCTCCAGCGTCTACAATCTCTTCTGGCGTCATCGTTAGCCCCGCGAACTCAAACCATCACGTCTGATACTTAATTCCCGACAAGGTTATTTCAGATCGGGAGTATCGATTGAGACTACATCAGCTTGCATTCCTTAAGAGACAGCTTCTACGCAACGTGGGTGGCAATCATCGGACGATAACAGTGGAAGGCAGATGGCCGATTCCCAACCATAGACGATGAGGTCATGTGTCATCGTCGACGCCTTGCAAATCAATGCGCTTTGCGTTCTTAATTCAAGTAGACTGTCAATTTCTTAAAGTACCTATATTCTCTGCGGGAGCTGGGATCGAACGAAAAGGGGCATACAATCTATTTGCATGGATAAGATGTGATGAAGTATTCAACAATATCATTCAACAAAACTTTGGAGTAATTGGTCTTCAAAGTACTTTAGCCATTCAACGTTCTGCATTGCCAATCTTGCATATCCCCCTAGACTCACCTCGCTAGTCCAGCCTCTGGCTTCTCGACCAAAAGATAGTCATGCCTTCATCATTAAATGATGGCTCTGATTCCATATTATTGTTGGAGGCCGCGTCAAATGAGTCAAGGCAGTCAGCGTTACAGTCCACATATTCTTTGATGCCTTTGAGCATGACATGGCCTGCAACAAATAGGCCGATAACTGCAACCTCATCGGCGACGGAGGAGCATGCGCCCAGTGCAGCAATACAACCTTTCCAACACTCTTCGTATGCAAAATGAGCAGCACCTCGGGAAGAAACAGCCAAGACGGCAACCGGGGCCAGAATGATGAGGAACGAGGGAATGGTGACTGCGGAGAATTTCATACTGATAGGTGAGTCTGGGTTGCAGAAGAGGCCTTGCTGATTGGTGGTTGTGATGGGTTTGCTTGTGATGGCGGACGGTGTCTGGTGTGTGTTTTGTAGTGTGTTTTTTGTGGTGTTTAGTGTGTAATGAGTAGTGAGCGGCTTACAGTGAGCAAAAATGGCGAATGATTTGGGTTCTTAAGTATGGATATCCTCAAAGTATTTCAATATGTTTACTTGATCGCTTCCGCAGGCCTTCATCATCCATACAACTTGCGGTAGCTGGAAAGAAGGACTGACATGCGGTTGAAAAAGAACCAGACGTTACAAAATCGGGACGAAACGTCAGTGGACCGCTTTGAAGCTCTTGTCCATGGCATTCAGTCTGAGGCGAACAAAAACTTGATCATCTCTCATTTCTACAAAATGACTTGCAGTTAACTTCCAGACGTTTCGATGCGCCTTGGACAAAAGTATGGCGACAACGCAATCTCATAGCTCATCCGTAACCCCACCCTCACACCAGTTATGGAGGCGGCTACAGACCGCGCGAGCATCTATAGAAATTGATATCAGAATTACTGCTCTCGAACGTTTCCGAAGTTGACTATACAATACCTTCTCTTGTCCAATATTTGGATTCAAAGCGAATGGGAGCAGTACACACAGACTGACACCCTTTGAACGACTGGTCGCATGCCTTGATCTTTGGCGGCGCGCCATAGCATTTTGTGACCCATACCTTTTCTGTGGCAGCGCAGCAAGCAAAGACGGCCGTCACGCAGTTGATCTGACACTTGGCGTATTTGGTGATGATGGGCTTTTTGTCGTGGAGTGCCGCATTTTGTGAAAACGTATTAGCCAAGGCCGGCATCGCTGCCGCTAAAGCTGTGGCAATTATGTTCAACTTCATTGCAGAATCGAGAGTCGACGTAGGGGGGGAACAAGGCAGCTGATCTTTGGGCGGGGATCGCTGGCGATAATAGGCACGATGTCTTATGGTATATGACCACGGCCAAAGCGAGCCAAACTTTCTCTGCTGAGTGTCGAGGCCTAGATGTCTCCCTCCCTTCGCTAGACAATGTTGAGAGCCGCAGGGGTTGGGATGCATATCTTGTCGGCCTCCGGCAGATGAAAGTCTTGAGTGGCACTAACTTTGGCGGGGGCTGTACTCAAAAAACATACTTCAAAAAGCATCCATTCTTTCGTGGTCGTCCCATCGAAAGAAGGCAATGAGGAGAAGCATCAATAGGCTTGACCGAGGGTATCTGATTCGCATTCGATCTCTAAAAAGCAACTTTTCCTATAACCCAAAACGCCATGTCATGCGTCATCCGCAGTAAATCATCCGCCCCTGAGCTCCCCTCAGAACCGGATATTGCGCTTGCGACCAGTGTACTTTGACGTAGCCTTGACGATCTTTCCCTTCCTCTCCATCTGTTCCTTCTTCTTGACGATCCATGCCTTGCTGCCCTTCTTGATTTCTCCCTTGCCGCTCTGGTCGCTTGCCTTCCGCCTCGCGTCCTCGACGTCAACACCCTCCATGCCGTTGACGACGTTGGTGATGTCGCCTCCCTTGCCGCCTTCGGCCGTGCCTCCAACCGTCAGGACTAGGTACAACTTGACATTTTTCGTCTCCGGGTCGTCCTCGAGCAGACCGGCGCCGAAGCCAGCCTTCACCGCCGCCTGGGTAATCATGTTGCGCTGTGTGTCATTCTTGGGGTAGAACTGGCACACGGCTCTTCCTCCACGACGTAATGACGCATACAGGCCGTTGAAGAAGCGGGTGAGGCGGCCCTCGGGGGATGTGTCGCTGCTCTCGGCGTTGCAGAGCCACTGGATCGCGGAGATGCTAATGGCTGCGTCGAAGGAACCGGCGCGGAAGGGAACGCCCTGGCCGATATCTGCCAGCAGCAGGTCACCCTCAACGTCCCTCTGCAGCGCAATATCGAGCATGGAGGGTGAGATGTCCATGCCAATCCAGGTGTGCGGGCCGCCGTCCTCCTCGCCCTCAGCGGAGAGGATCTCGCCAGAAAGACCGCTGCCACAGCCGACGTCGAGGATGAGGGAGGGGCCCTTGAGGTCGAGAAGTTCGAGCGCACGACGGGTCATCGAGGCTTGAATGTTTTGGATACGAGAGCTCGTGGTGTATTTGCGCGCTTCGGTGTCATCGTAGTGGATGTCGGCCGCGCTGGAGAAGGTTAGTTGGATGGCGGGGTTCGGATGGGAGATTGACTGACAGGGTATCCTCAGGGCGCGACATGATGGGCTAAGGATTTCGGTCGATTGATGATCTGAGGTATCGGCAGGGGACAGCCAGCGGTTCAGTGGTCAGTGGAGCGGTTCGTGACGTCGGCGCATCGAGGTTGGGCGGTGAATTTTTGTGTCGTGGGAAACTTCAAAATTCGCAGGCTTCGGGGTGCGGATAGCTATCGATAAGATAAGGAAAGCTGGTGGGGTCGATAAGAGTCGATAAGATCAAGTCCCGGCTGCTTACCTCATTCCGAGGTCATCCCGCCCCCCGGATCATGAGCTGCTCCGAGACTCCGGCGCAAAGGCCACGCTTGCGAAATGGAACCCACCAAAAAATGTCCCTGTCTCCCCGTCCCGACGCGCCTCCCGTGGCCGTGCAGCATGCGCCTGGGCTTTAATTACACAATGTGAAGCTTCCCAGCTACAATTGCCCACCACCAAACACCACCTTCACCTTCTCCACGTTCTTTTTCTTTCTGTACCATATTCTTCTTTGAACACAACACAACACAGCCGTCAAGATGTGGATTCTACCTCTTGTTGGCTACCTAGGCTCCATCGTGGGCTTCTGCTTTCTGACCCTGGCAATCGGTTCGTGAACCAACCCCCGGCCTCTGTTCTCCGGGTCTCCCTTGGCAGCATGTACTGACGTAGCAATGTCACAGCTTCGGGTCTCTACTACCTCTCCGAACTCGTCGAGGAGCATACGGTCACCGCGAAGAAGCTCCTTACGAAGCTCATCTACTCGATCATGGCCCTGCAGCTCCTGCTATGCGTCGTCGACCGGTTTCCCTTCAAGCTGACCCTCATGGGCATCGTCTCCCACGTCGTCTACCTCGGCAACATGCGCCGTTTTCCCTTCGTGCAGCTGACTGACCCTCTCTTCCTGGCCTCGTGTGGTATGTCTTTCCCCAAGAGCTGCTTTACCAGAAAGCCCAAGCTCACAGCAAGCTACAGTTCTCGTCCTCGTCAACCACTACCTCTGGTTCCGCCACTTCTCCGCCGCCCAGCAGCAATCCTACTCCAACATGCACTCTTACTACGACCAGCCCGACGTCCCGAGCTTCACCGAGATCGCCTCCTACTTTGGCCTCTGCGTCTGGATGGTCCCCTTCGCGCTCTTCGTGAGCTTGTCCGCGAGCGACAATGTGTTGCCTACAATGGGAAGCGAGGACCCGCTGCGGGATTCATCTGGCAAGAACAAGCGCCAGGGCTTCGTCAAGTCTATTGTCGATACGGTGCTCGGTGCCATTGGACAGGTGTTCAGCGGAGTGGGCTGGGACAGGAGGTGATCGTGTCTTGCATGTGAAGAGGGGCGGGGCTTGGCTAGGGATAACTGCATCTGGAACATGTGAGGACATATCGGAGCTGCCCGCATGTCATTCTGGTACGAAGCTGTCGATTTACATAAAATAGATACCCGGAGACTTTCTCCATCTGAGCTCCTATTTGCCCTTCCCATGACAGGCGCCTTCTCGTTGCAGCACGCGCTGGTCCAAGGCTACGGGTTGACTGAACGTAGAATAAAAGCTGATTGGATTCAAGTACTCGCGCCGGATCCTTGCGGACACTGTCATCCGTAAGAATGTCCGAAGTTCAACCTTGCTCCGTCAGACAGTGGTCCTGATTCGAGACACGAGTCCTTTGGCGTGGATGACGTACTGGGCAAAGGCCAGGGGTAGCGATTCAGCCCACCACAATCACGGAGTCCCACATCAACAGTAACGATCCGGATCCGAGCCCGAGTGCCCGGTCTGGTCCCTCAGACTAAAGCGGGTCACTCAATCATACACCATCATACCGGGGAAGACAAAATAATTCTAGACAATATGCGACGACCGTCAGAAAGCTGTGTAACTGGGAACAAGACCGGTTCAGTAGCTTTACTTCCCCGGTGTTCGCTCGAGTGGGGCCATAAGTACAAGAGAGAGCGGTACACATGGTTTGGCGCGTGAGACTCTGCGTCAGGTTTAATCTCGGGCTTAATTGGACTTTCGAATGGGGGGAACCAGCCCCAGAAAAGTCGATTGTAGAACTGGCTGAAACCCCCAGTCCAATCTGTGTCCTGCCAGTTGACGCGGTTATTGCAACCCACCCTCAAGGGCGCCCGTGAGCGACCGCCTAATTGTACAAATGGCTCTACCCTAGAAGGTCGCAACCTTCCGAGACGGACCCGGGATCTGTTTAAACTCGTGATGAGATGCACTAGAGCTATCCAATAGTTGGCAGGATCCGCTCTGAGTCTGACGCCCCTCAAATAACATTGCTTCCGGATTGCCCCTCTTTACCAAGGCATCGGCAGTCCATGTCAGAATCTTCCAAGCCGCCTGGAGGAAGACTAGATCCGCAAGCAAGATTGAGAAAAGCAGCACCCCCCAGCTTTTTTGCTGAGGGACAGAGCAAAGGTATTGGTCAACAATGGTGGCATTCTTGCAGCCCAAGGGCCCCATAAGAGAATGGAACTTATCGAATGAGTCTTTGAGATCCGTCAGACCTTTATCTGTGCCATTGGGCACAGGGCTAGGAATCCGGTTGAAACGTTCTATTCCATCTAGAGCAGTAGCGGATCTGTTCAGGAGGTTCCCAGCCGCTCGATTCGAGTCATTTGGTGCCAGAATTGCGTACTTCAGGCCATTGTCATCAAGCAGAAGATTTGGTGACTGGCAACTACCCAGATCCAGGGAAAGAAGAGAATACAAGATCTTGGTGCAGTGAAGTCCTTCTGTTAATGTTGGCGAGACATACCACTGTGTTAAATTAATTTCAGCTGCATAGATACATCACAAAAAGGAAAGAGTCGCTCCTTACATCAGAGTTGTAGTCGTGATAACCTTCGTCATCTTCTAAGTCGTTTTTACCAGGCCCCGAGCTGTCATCGTTTCCCTTCCACCAGTACAGGTTGAAGAAGTTGTCGTCTTGAATGCTTCATCAAAGTCAACAGCGTTCAGCAAGTAGCGGGCGAATTAAACTCACTCTGCTTCAAATGGGTCCAATGTATAATATAAATGAGCTCGGACGACGTATTTCTTTCCGTTTCTTATCTTTGTCATGCGGGATGCCGTAGCTAGCACCCCATTCCAATAGGCGTTGAGTAATCTGGTTCCCCACCAAACGCTGGCATGTGTCTTGTAATCATCTTGTATAGCATAGCTATAGATCTCGTCCCCTGAAACCCTGTATTCTTTCGTGACCGTCATAGTTATTAGGCCGTCATCGGTTGCAATAGTACAATTGAATGTCGCCAGTATGGATGAATCTATCCATGAAAGCAATCTTGAAGGCGCAGGTGGAGCCGCAGTGTCGGACTTCCTCAACTGAAGGAAGAAAGATTCCTTCGGCATACAGTTCTGAAGGGTATTGTTCTTGTAACCAATTGTAGACAAGGAGTTTCTGGCCGGGTCTGTAATCGCTTCAATGGTGTATCGGAAGCCGAGGTTTGTGGTGAAAAAGGAATCTCCAACGGATAACAGATGCGGTTGGCATTCTGCTTGCACATCACTTTGCCAATTGAATGGACGCTGCCTGAACCATCTTTGAAGAAATCTTAGTCTGGATCTGATCAGATAGAATGGGTATGTTGACATACTGTGCATTTGCATGGGCTTCAGTGCTGTTGGGGTCGGACGTGTAGACAGTTTTCAGGTAAAAGCCGTTCGCGCTCAGGTTGAGCAACGAGAGTATGACTGCAAGAACAACGCCGCCTACCAAGGCGACGGGTGTGAACCACCTAAAAGGGTACGGCTTAGAGACCGGATACGAGAATCGCGACTTGTGCATCTTTTCTGTGTGACATCAATTTCATGATACGCCCAATAGCTTAGAGAGAAGCAAGTTTCTTAAAGATAAGTAGTTGAGCTGTGACTCTGCATCTGGAAGATGGCAATGCACATTGAATACCTAGAATGCCGCTGTTTTGGGGCAAGACCTTCTGAGACTGTAGCACCTCTACCTGCAGTGTTTCGTTCTGTGTATCAGTAAGCAGAGCGGGTTCGGTTGATGAACGAAGGTGAATGGAGGCAGAGAAGCTCGTGCGTCTATCATCGTCAGCGGCTCCCCGAAAGCTGACTGCTTGTCTATCATCCCGCCCCGTCTCCCTGCCAAGCACCGCCGAGTGCTGCCGAAAGAGGAAGTAACTTATCAACGCATTCAACCATCTGAAGCAAGGTGAGGCCATCGCCGCCACTCGATCGTAAATTCGACACCCCTAGATTGAGTTGAAATATTTGGTGTCTCAGTTCAAATGACTGCCCTGGCTGTAGATCAACCTCCGCAGTTATTATGGCATGCCCAGCCACTGAAATGTGACATCATCGCTAAACCATCAATCATTACTTAATTACATAAGGTATTTGGTAGAAATTCTTTGCACTGCCGGCTCCAGTCGGGTTGTTTTGGGGCCAGCCAGGCAGGGCGGCACAACACTGATTGAGATACCTCCAACTTTCACTCACTCGCACATAACTGTTACAAGCTGAGACCTTCACACGAGATGTTGTCGGCTATGCTCGGCACCAGAGAAAGACATCTAGGTACCTATCAAGACCGTTAGCTTCAATGGCTGTCGCAGCACACCTCGCCTGACTTCTAATGGACGTGTATTAATGGATTGTGGTTCATTGAAATATAACTACAATACAGCGAGTGACGATGTTCCAAATTCCTACATTTTGTTTCACGCATGTTTGATGTCCCCTATTTTCAAAGGAATGTCGTAAATGCAACTAGCGAATGAGTGACGTTGGTGTTTGCAGCCGAAATAAAGTGCTTCGTCGAGGGATGAGACCTTCAACTCATTTGCGAATTGGGTGGTCATGATACCGACTCAGAATCAACGGCGCTTGGCAACACCGTGCCGCTTGAGGAAATCAACACGTTCCTGGCGGTCGGAGAGAGCCTCGTATGCAGGGGCATGCTCGGAGTCGCGGGATAGCTTCCAGACATGGGTGGCATCACGCACGGCATAGGCCGTGTGTTGAGTCTGGCGCCAGCCCTCCGAGCGCTTAGCCTTCTTGTTCTTCTGGACCCAAGTCTCCTTGGGCGACACGTCGCGAGCGTGGCGACGACCATGGTCGCCACCACCATCGTCCTCGCCGTCCTCATCACCATCAGTCGGCTCCTCGTCGGTGCTGGGATCCTCATCGCCGCCCTCTTCGCCGAGGGCGCCGGCGGCGGAACCTTGCGGGATATCAGTGGTAGCACAGGTGTCGTCCTTGTCCAGCTGAAGACCGCAGCGGTTCTCCGAGTCCGGGGCCTGGCCCTGGTCTAGTCCATACAAGACAACGCCGCCCTGGTCGTCGCTGGCCTGGGCGGAACTATACAGGGTGTTGACAGCGCCGTTGCAGCAGTCACCAACGACTTGCTCCTCGCAGACGATGCTGATCTCCTCATCTGGGCAGTCAGAGTCTTCGTTCAAGTAGATATCGAAGGCGAAGGCGCGGTGGCCAAGCAGGAGAAGAGAGGCAAAGATGGCAAGAGTGTTGGTACGCATGATGGCGGTTCAAGCTGAAATTTGATACTGGGTTGTATAGGGACAGGAAGAATTGTGTGCTAATGTAGAGGTGTTTGTGTCTGATGAGGAACGGAAAGATAGACTCACTGCCATGATTCTGGGTTTCCTTTATACTCTGCGATGCCATCCTGGAAGCGCTTGAATGTTGTTACTGTTGAGCTCCAGACGTACTGGGCGACAAGAAACAGAACAGTGTCTGAGCTTGGGAAGTTCCTGACAATCAAGTGACGATTTGTGACGGGATAGGAAGCTGTGAATTCAAAGATCGTCACGAACAGCTGATTCTCTTGCTGACGACAGCCCGGTACAAAGGAATACGGCCTTCGGACCCTCGGTGAAATTGTGATCGCAACTGTAAAGAGCTTTTGATGATGCTACCGTACGTAATAGTGCTTTTCAGAGGTTGTTGCTGCACCTGCAACTGCGGCTCTGAGGTCGTGCAAAAAGACAGGCTGTAGATCCTTGCACCCTTACAGTCCGTTGAATAGTCAACGTGTGGACGAAGTCGGGCGTCGGGTGGAGATGGGTCGCCGGAGGCTGTGACAATAGTCTTGTGGTAAGAGGATTTGTGACAATGCAACTCTAGACTCTCAATTTTCCCAATTGCGAAAAGCTGTGACTGGGGGCGAGGCAGTGTTTCGAAGGCAGCCGCCAAGACACCAAGGAAGATCTCGATGACAAGATGTGCCGGCTTCTTGCAGGAGCCGCTTCATAGTCTCCAATATTCTCCGAAAGACGTGTAGGTCGCAAGTTTGTCATTCGTCCGGAAGACGTAATCAAGCAGCTGATTGGTTACGACTGCGCAGGGCGTTCCGGCGCCGCCGCATGGCACTTCATGGGACTTTGGTTTTATCAGCCCGAAGTAGACTAATCGAACGGCTCGCGCCCGGTGTGGTCCACCTGTCAGACCGGCACAGACATGATATGATGATCTATCAAAGTCCCGAGTTGGGCTGAAAAGTCTTGGCCTGCGTCCTGTCGATCAATATTGAAATGAGGATCACTGATGATACTGAAAAGGTGACCAAACGTTGATCTACTTCCGTTTAGAGCTGAAGGCCTGGTCTGACAATTGACTTTGATCCCTTTCGCGATGCATCTATACATAGAATGAGTAAGATTCTTTTGCACTTCAACTTCTCATCGTGACATATTAATTACATCTGGAATACATCGTAGCTTCAAAGATGCTACCTAAAAGGTACCAGAGGTCACGACACAGGATCTAGAATGTGTTCTGATCCCCTGTGTCTCCGAAATAGTTTGCCATCGCAACATGAGTTGCGCCAAAACTCTGCTGGCTGTACCCTCATGGTCTCATCCCGATCTTCTTCGGGTGTCAGGAATTATCACGGACACGTCGGATGACTGAAGTCAGCTCAGGGTTGAATTCCGGCTCACCGAGGGTAATGATTTGCGTAGTGTCTAATCGAATAGAGACTCAACTTTCTACTCGGATTTTGTGAATTGTACTTTGGTAAAATGATTGCGTGTTCTTTCACTAAATCTGGAGCCAGCGTGTTGCGATGCGGGAATTCAGGCTGCATTCCTCCTATAGGCTATTTGTGATGTTGTCATGGTTATTTTTGACGACCGCTGCCAAATGGCCCGAAATAATCGCCAAAGTATATAATGCTTTGATATTTCTCGTATAGCGTTCACTTTAATTCTTGAGTAAGCCTTCTCACCAGATTCTCAAGCAACAGTTCATTAATCACCCACACCAAAGGACCAGTTTTACTTTCAAATCCTCAAACTACTTCACCAATTCAAAATGATGTTCTCCAACGCCAACCTTGTCATGGCCCTGGCCAGTACCCTCAGCCTCTTGCGTCCCGCCGCTGCCGGAAACCTCTGCCTGTCCTATACCTACCAAGTCCAGGGCGGCAACGGCGCACACGACTGGCGGACCTTCGCGGCCGGCAGCCCGTGCGATACCACCAATGTCTTCGACGAGGACATCTGCTCGTCGCTGCCGGCGAGTGACAACATTTGCGATGTTGACTACACTCTTGTCTCAGCTGAGGATGACACGATTGACGATGCCGACTGCAGCATTGCCATTGAGATCGACGGCACCGTCTACCACGGACGTCTGTCGGATGGCGGTCTGGACGGCAGCGAATGTGGTGCCGATTGCGGATTCCCGCCTCGCGAATTCAAGAGCAACTACATCTTTGAGAATGTGCCCATGTGCGATTAAGGCTTCATAAGGTCTTGAGATGGGCAGGAACGGAATTTGACGACAGATGACACCTACGGCTAGTCAGGGGGAGCGCACAAGTGTCAGAGAATTCGAATAGCTTGGGTTGATGTATACCAGAGCCAGTCATTACCACATATCTCCTAGTCGCATACACTCGTTGATTGTCTCATTCCACCTTGAATTGAATTACAAAATGACCAAAGTGACGCCCCATCATGGCATGCGAACGCCTGCTAGCTAACTGTCTCTGCCTTCCCCGTTTTCACTACGTAACAGAATGTGAGTCAAAAGTGGCCTTTGTATGTCTACCGGCCACGGACTTTAGCAGGCCTTCATACCGGCCGGTGCGGGTGGGATACCGATGATGCCTTATGTCCGAGGTCGGAGGGACTTTTCAGCCTTCAAATATTTGATCTCAAAAGCAGCAAAATCAAGTCAGATATCTCACTCTTTATTACCTACATTCTCGGCCAATAGCAGCACTAGCTTACCAAGTGACAACAGCTGAAAATTGAAGATATCGGCTTCAGGACAAAGAAGCACGTCTGGGCTTCACATACAAAACAAGACTTCTAAATGTCTAAACCATTTTTCCTGTCAACCTCACCTTCATCACCGTCCATACTTATGAACGAACTCAGCTCCATCCTGGCAGGCTCCAGTACCCAGGAACAAAACGACCCAAGATCCCATTGGTGAGTCTCCGGACCTGCTCCACTGTCCTTGGGCCGATGGCCATCGGCTTATGACTCGCCACGGTAACGGCCTGGACCTCTGCTTCCGTAGGCAAGAACGCCATCTCCGCCATCGCCGCGCCCAAATCTCCATATGACGCTGATGCAGCCGGCTCGTCGATACTGATCGTATAGCCCGAGTACTCCCCCTCGAAAAGAAAAGGGGCGTGGAACAAGGTGACCGTGACCAGCGAGGAAGAGATGAGCTTCTTCTCTGCCGTGGCTAGGTCAAAGTAGATGTGATTCAAGGAGGCCATGATCAACCAATGTACCCAAGCTGGTCGGTGTGATGATAGCTTCTCGCTTATAGATTCAGATGAAAGGAACGTCATGTGCGGCCGCCGCCACGTTCCTCCCGCTTCCGCCTTCTCGTGTAACTCGCTTAACGCTGCAAGAATTGCTTCAACAGCATCGCGGTGCATGCGCATCCCGGGTTGGTCGTCGTTGCTGCCGATGGTGCACATGATATGTGTTGCGTCCGACAGGCAGTGCACCATGAGGGCATGGTCGCTCAGTTGGCCCTCGGTGATCTCCACGTGGGAGTAGCTTTCAATGCCTGGGAAGAGTAGCTTGAGCTTGCGCGCTGACCGGACAAAGACATGGATCTTGGTCGATTTGTTTGTGTTGGATAGGAGTGATTTCAAGACTGCGCTGCCGGTGCTGCCGGTACAACCAAAGAAGGCGAGCTTTTGAACCTCTGATGGAGCCATCTTAATGTTTTGGTCTTGCTTGAGTATTTGAGAAATTGGAAAGACTATAAAGACTATGGGAGATGTGGCTTTGTGGAGTGAAAACTCACTCTAAACCGAGCATATATACATCATGAAGAGACGATCTCAGCGCTGAGCCGGTCACTCAAGGACGCCGAAGAACCGGAGGTTGAATTCCGTTAACAGTAGCTTCGGAGTGCCGATAGACGCGAAGCACAAGCGAACCTATGCTGGCCAACTGACAAATGCAAAGACGTGGAGTTTTATTTGTGTCCGCCGGCATTTGGCCCGTACCAAATTCCTTGGCGTCAGGCCCGCGGCTCTGGCCCTTGCTCAGTGGGAGCCGGCCGCATCGGATGAACATGGAGATTTATTCGGTTAAGGCTCCGATCAGATTCTAAACTTCGGCCTCGGTCGTGAAGTTCTAATAAGCCCGCAATTGGCTCATGAAACTGTTCATGGATCCGCTGTAAAGGTCAATATGTCAAAGATCCAATCGTGGAAACGATTGAAAGCCTGCTATATGAGTCTAAGGGCCACTGTCTGAGCCCGCCATGAAATATTTTGAGCCCGGTGTTATTACGTAGGCGGTTCTTTAACTATTGATCGTCAACTTCATATTCAAAAAGATGCAAAAGACGTCAAATATGAGAGCCGCAGGTATTGGCTTGCTTGTTTTCATACAGAAATCTTTGGCCATCTCCGCTGGGTGCAAAACACTCGCTCAGGTGTCCCCGGATATCACTTTTCAACCAGGATCTGCAGTTTACGAGTATGAAAAGCGCAATTTCTGGTCCAATACCCGTAAGGCCTCGAAGGTCTCTCACACTTGCATGAAAGTTGGTAAACTGATCGGCCACGGTGTAGAGATACTCAACCCAGGCTGCATCTTTGTGCCTACCTCAGCTCATCAGGTCAGCACCGCCATGAGCGCAGTGAAGTCCGTCAACGGCTCCTTCGCCGTCAGAGGCGGTGATCACACGGCCATTCCGGGGGCGAATAGCATCGACGGAGATGTGCTCATCGTCTTCTCCAACATGACACGACTGGAACTCTCCGCTGTTCAGCTGTTATTCGCACCCACGTTCAGCTCGGTCCAGGGCTGCGTTGGGGAGAGGTTTACAACGCCCTTGAGACATACGATCTTACCGTCGCCGGCGGCCGCGCAGCACCCGTTGGCGTTCCGGGGCTGTTGTTGGCTGGCGGAATAGGCTTTTACAGCAACAAGTATGGCTTCTCAGCCAACACGGTCAGCAGCTTTGAGGTTGTCCTCGCGGATGGGAGAATCGTGAACGCGACCGCTTCTAATGAGTACAATGACCTCTTCTGGGCGGTGAGCATTCTCCGAGAAACCCGCTGCAGAAGTCGAAGCTGATATTGCTCCCAGTTGAAAGGAGGCGGCCCGAACTTTGGACTCGTCACATCGTTCGAACTCCAGACCATACCCAGCCCAAGAGTATTTGCCGGCGTTCTGCAATTCGAGTCTTCCCAATTTGAAGCCTTCTTTGAGGCTGTCGCTGCCTATTCCACGGACATCTTCGACGCAAAGTCACACATCATCCCCACAGTAGGATTTGCCAGAGACGATGGTACAGACGAGATCTCGGCCTACGCATACGTCGTGTTATTCTACGACGATCCGTATGAGACAGAGCCTGGGATTTTCCGCCGGTTTCTCGACATACCCAACGTCGGCAACACGCTGAGTCACCTGACTGTCGCAAATCTCGCTTTTGAGACTGGAAAGTCCGTCATGGATGGCCAGGGTGATATTCTCACCGGTGGAACGATCGCGTCAACGGACTCTGAAGGACTGCTTGCCGGCATTCACCTCATCAGCGAGATCTTCGAAGAGGCGGTAAGATCGATCCAGGCACAAGTTCCTGCCGGTACCTTCGCATCCACGGAGGTGTACTTCCAGCCCCTCGGCCGAGACTTCATCGTTGCCTCGCAGAATAACGGTGAAGATGGAGGGTCCCTGTCGCTGGACGAATCCCAGGGTACCTACATCGTCTACGCCATTGCGCTGACCTGGGTCGACTCACAGTACGACGACGTTATCTCCGCTTGGATTGAGAAGACAGTCCAAACAATCGACAGCGCCACGGCTGAGGCAGGCCTTCATCATCCTTTCAGATACATGGGAGATTCCGCCGCCTTCCAAGTTGCTGAATTCTTCGATGGCTATCCCCAGGGCGTTGCGGAACGGCTGAATAATGTCGCACTGAAGTATGATCCTGAAGGATTCTTTCAGAAGAACATGGCGGGTGGTTTCAAGCTGTCTGCCTCAAAGATGTCCAGCAACGACGATGCGGGAGAGGTTGGCAGGAGTGAGTCCTACGACGCAGGTATCTTTACGCAGGGGGACGGAAGGGTCTAGGGACTTCATGGCTCTGATGTCCTAACGTATATGCATAGCGAGTCGCACATCATAGCGAGCCGCCCACTTTTCCTTAATTCTACACTCTTCACCTTCACAACAACCTTCCTCTACGTACGACCATGAGTTCTTCTTCAAATGAAAGTCGTATTATCTTTGCAATTGAAGCTATTAAAAAGGACCTAAAA